AAACCAGTTCCGACAAACCATAACTCCAGCGGACGAGTTCTTGCAGACCACAGTCAGTTCTAATGAACTATAACCAATTCAAGCAGACCATATTCGGCGGACCAGTTTCGACCAACCCAGAAAGACGAGTTCCGATAGACCAGATCTGGTGGACGAGTTCAGACGGACGATAGTCAGTTCCTACGAACTTTAACCAGCTCCGACATAGCAGATTCGGCGGACCAGATAGACCAGTTACGATAGACTAGTTGTGGCAAACCAGATCCGGTGTATCATATTCCGGCGGACAAAGCTAGTTATGATAGACTTGTTCTAAGTGATAAAAACCAGCGGACCAGTTCTGTTGACCTGATTCGGCGGACCAGGCAGACGATCAAACAAGTGATGTATTTATTACACTATAGACAATACATTTTCTGTGGATGGACAATATTCGGCGAACCAATTTTGTCGACTAGTTATAGCAGATCAGATGTAGTGGATCAGATCTTGTAGACGAGATCTCATTTTTTTTTTGATTTTGTCTATCATTTTTTTTGTCTTTTTCTTCGAGGGCAAAATCGTCCATGTTTCTCTATTTATGGCACGTTTTGAAAGAAGCTTTCATTAATGACAGTTTGACAAATTTGAGTTTCCAAAATGGCAGTCTCAATAAAATTCCCTAATAATTACATGTTCGCTCCAATAATAATTCCTCTTACGCAATAATTACATTATTTATTTTTTTATAATCGAATTGAAAAGTTGTTAAATAGACTCCTCTTACGCAGAAAGAGGGTTTCCGGTTTATCTTTGAGATAACCTTAACTAAATTACTCGGTTTACACATAACACATTTAGAATGATACTTTCTTTGCAGTATCCCAACTAGCTAGACAACCTCAACTAAATGATGACAACAAAGAAGAAAACATGAACCCCAATTATGATTCAAAGATGATGAAGAAGGTGTTTGCATTTAGCCATTAGGTATATCTTTGCCTTTGCTATATCTTTTCTTCCCATAGTTTTTTCCTACAAAAACTGATAGTGTTGTCAAAATACTTGATATCCGCTTCGATCCATTACTTTGAACCTTAGGTATGAAATCATATGTCTATACACTATGACCGCTTTGATTTGAAGTATATTTAATCATTTATGGCTACTTGATGTCACGAATGGTACTGCCTTCATATCATAGGGTTTATTAACATGAAGAAGACCATCTAGCAAGCTAAATGGTACCGTAAATTTTGTTAGATTGGGTGTAAAATAAATTGGGCTAATTTGGCCCATTAAGACTTTTTTTTATCTCAGCCCAATTTGGGATACATAATAAACCCTTAAAACAAACATGTTATAAAAGTGGCGGCTTTAGTCGAAATTAGGGTTTCGCGTTAGGAGAAGAAGTGAAAGCAAAGCACATACAAACGCAGTCACCTTCTCTGTCGCCGCCTCTTTCATTCTCATCGCAATCATGGTAGGATTCCTCGTCTCTGGATCACTCGTTACGTTAATCCAATGCTGATTTCAAATGCTGAGTATATTCAAACTGTGTTAAAGTATCTGATCGTGTTTCTCGTATTTGCAGATCATATCAGAGAAGAACCGCCGTGAGATCTCCAAGTACCTCTTTAAAGGTACGGCCTTTATTTGAGCTTATGAATCTAGTTGTCTTCTACGTAAATGGGTCTATGCATAGAAGACAATAGCATTGATAGAATCAAGATAAGTGTACTTAGAAATGGTTGGGTTTTGGTTGTTTGTGCAGAGGGTGTTTTGTATGCCAAAAAGGATTTCAATTTACCACAACATCCTTTGATTGAGAGTGTTCCCAATCTGCAAGTTATCAAGTTGATGCAGAGCTTCAAATCTAAGGAATATGTGCGTGAGACCTTTGCTTGGATGCATTACTACTGGTTCCTCACAAATGAAGGCATTGACTTTCTCAGGACTTACCTCAACCTCCCATCTGAGATTGTTCCTGCTACTTTGAAGAAGCAACAGAAGCCTCTTGGTCGACCTACGGGAGGCCCACCTGGTGACCGTCCCCGGTAATCAACTTGAATCTTCAATTGTCAATCTTGTTACTCTATCATGTCTTCAGTTGAATCTGCTTAAGGGGATCATGGTTAATATGTGACGGTTTTGATTTGTTTTATAGTGGCCCTCGTTTTGATGGAGAGAGGAAGTTTGGTGACAGAGATGGATACCGTGGAGGTCCTAGATCAGGTGGAGAGTATGGTGACAAGAGTGGAGCTCCTGCTGATTACAACCCTGCCTTCAGGGTACAAAATCTCTCTCTTTTCTTGTCATTCTCTGTGAATTGTTGGTACTTTGATACTAATTCTATGCTTTAAATCATCTTGTGAACCCTTTTATTGGACACGCTTTAGTATCATTCTTAATTTTGAGGAAACTACTGAAGCCTCTGCCACTCTATTGACTTGCTTAGAATTAGTTTTTGAACTGTATAACCCATTAGTACCTTGAGTAAATAATCTGTTGTGCACTTTGCTTCCCTAATTATGCTACTAAGTATTTCTTCCTTGAGTATGGTTTCAAGATTGAAAAATTACCCTGCATTTGTGTTTGGTGTGTGATTAAATGTTTTGGGGTTGTACAGGCACCTGGTGGAGCTAGACAAGGGTTTGGTCGTGGAGCCGGTGGTTTTGGTGGTGGTGCTGGTCCAGCTGCTGGATCCGATCTTCCTTGAAAGGGATTTTATGATTCTTTCATGTTTCTTTTTGGTCTTATTTAAGGGTTACATAGTACCTTGATATGAGAACGAATGTGACTTTCGGAACTTTGTTTCTTTCTCTATAAACCATTTCTCAATATGATTGTTTCTTACGTTAGAATTTTATGAAGTTGTGTTGGATTCTTAGTCATTACGTGAATCTTTTACGCACTTTGCCCTCTTTTTAAATTCTCCTATTTTGTTTTTATTCCTTATCTTACAAACAATAATCAGGAAAACAACATCTACTCTCTTGTAATTCCTTGTCTTAATAATTTGACTGTTTCACTCGCTTTCACATCAAAATGTTTTGGACCAATTTTTTTCTATCTTGCACAAAACAAAGTGAAAGATAAAACTCAACTGCATCATATGTATGGTTTTGTACTACGTATTGTTCCTCCCTCCCATATATGGTTCCAGTAGCATGCGTTTTTAAAACTCGATCCCTCTCAATGTTCTATTCTCCATTGTCGGTAACTTAACAACCAATCTTAATTTTGCGACTAAGAATCCTGACTTCTCCGTTTGTGCCTATTCCTACTACTTGTAAATATGTATTCTAGAAAAGCCTTTCAATTGCAGCAAGGCTCGACCTGTTTTCAGCAAATCGACATTTTTCTAAACTACTTTCTTTCATCCTTTAGCCTGGTGCAGGTTTCTTGATTTGGACCAAACTTGGAACATAAGAGCTCAAAGGTGAGATACAGTACTAGCCTTCAGGTACTCCGAGATCTAATTTTCTCAAGAATTTAGCATCTACGATGACATTAATAAATGTCTTGGGAGAGTCTCTATGATCAAAATATTTATGATTAAATCCCATGAAAACTTTCTTCTCCTCGTCGACGAAGAAAGTATCTCGAAAATGTATCTTAGGTCTAGCAGGACTACATTGGGAGATGCATCTTGACGTTGACAAGGGTTATAATGGAAGAGGAATACAAAGACTGGTACCCATTAGACGAATCCAAAACGGGCAAGCTTTAGTTGCATCTCAAGTGGATGGCTCAGTCAATTTATCGTGATTCCTAAGCTTCAACGGAAGATTATCAACTCGGAGTGTACATTTTGTCTAGTTACCTCAACAAAAATTGTTTTGTCAAACAGAGACGAGTCTCCATGTAGCCCTGAAGCTATGGACTCGAATATGAGCTTTTCACGTTTTCTGTAAACCCTATACCAATATTTGTGTTACTTTGCTTATGTTGAAATCAGGTTGTCACAAGGGGTTGGTTTCGCGTGCATCACAATAAACCTTTTACGAAAAAATCTTGTGTACGCGTAAATCGTAATAACCAAATTTGTTGTCTACACCAAATCAGCTTCTGTAATCTCTCGATACATATTAACATTTTGACTAGTTCTTATCCTAAAGTATGCTGCCAGATTAGCCACGCACACTCGGTGACCACCATCAGTGTTCGCCATGTGTCCACACCTAATATTAAGATGAGACGTAGCACAAGCATCATCGTCTCTTATTCTCTTGCTGCTAGAAATGGAGAATTTGCAGAGAAAAGAGAATTACTTAATTGGTGTAATGGAGAAGGCTGTTCATTTGTCTACCAGAAATTGGACCCCAAGGTTCCAGGGGAGCCAACAAAGACGGGAAGCTCCATGGTTGCCACCGCAGCTTCAGCCGTACAAAAGCTTCGGTCCGCTTAATTACTTAATTTCGATATATATTTCATTTAGAAAAATACCCTCAAATAGTACTAAAAATTAAGTATTTTTGGACAATTACAACACACATTCGATAAATTTTTAGAAATAACACTAATTAGCATAATTCTAGTATTTTTTTTACACTCGATAAATTTTTAGAAATAATATTAGTTAGTGGAATTATAATTTTTTTTAATGTTTGGGTTAACTATTTTATATTTACGGTATAGTAGGATTTTAATGTTTAGAGTTTATGATTTAATTTTGAAAGTCTAATCATGAAACTGTCTATTAACGTTACTGGTAGCTAATATTTTTTTAAAGGCATCATTAGAAACCTACGGCTACGAGTAATACATCAACCAAATATACCCACCGTGTCATGGTATTAAACCGACCGTTTTATTTATCCATCCAAATAACAAAATTTGTAGTGAGACACACGTACTCAATTTTGTCAAACGGGCCGGTCTACGGCGCGGACTTATAAAATTATCTTGGCCCATCGAACATGCCTTTTATTTTGGGTTACCGGCCCATCGAGCGTGCCTTTTTTTTGGGCTAGGTGGCTCGTTTTAACTCTAAAAGCCTTACGAAGAGCTTCTCTCTCTCCCTCTCCCTCTCCCTCTCCTTCTCCCTCTCCCTCTCCCTCATTCAGTGTTCTCTTTCGCTTCCCAATCTTGGAGAAAACCCTAAATTAGATTTTGTTCTTGTTGTTTCGTGATGGAGGACGACGCCAATAGCATCCCGAAGTTGCCGATCCCTGGCAAAAGAAATATACTAATCACAAGCGCTCTGCCTGACGTCTACAACGTCCCTCAGCTCGGAAATATCACTGGCTGTAATATTTGAACCCTTTCTCTCTTCCCCTTCGTGCATATTATACCTTTGAATTTATGCCATCTTTTTTCCTGAATTGCATGTAACTATGTGGGTTTGCTTACAAATTATGTTTTATACCTAGATCAAGCCCGTTTCTAAACTGCCAAATTTGTTTTGTTCAGATTCAGATGTTGCATTTCAATTTCTGAAAGCTAATTTTAGTGTAGTGTACACACGACTTATATAAGCATAGGTATGGACTCATTGCAATGTTTTTTTTTTTTCCCACGTACAGGTGTTCTGAGAGCTGATGTATATGCTAGATACTGTCGTCTCCGTGGCTACAATGCTCTATATATCTGTGGGACTGATGAATATGGGACTTCAACTGTTTTCAGCGAGGAGAATTGCACCGCCAAGGAAATCTGTGACAAGTAATGCTTTCTTTATTTCCCTTTTTTTATGTTTGTGTTGCCTAACCTTATGTGTTCCATCTGTTATCTGAATCTCAATTGTGCGTATCCTTGTTCGTCTAAAGCGGGATATATATACATACGCTTTCACCAATTCCTCTCGAATCTTTTTCAGAGAACCTTCCAAAAGCATTATGATCCACAGTAGTTTTTGATGCTACCATGCTTTTTTTTTTTTTTTCTCGGGTGCATTCAGGTACCATGCCGTTCATAAAGATGTTTATGACTGGTTTGATATAACTTTTGACAAGTTTGGGCGAACTTCAACGCCAGAACATACCCAAGTGTGCCAAGCAGTTTATAGTAAGTTGTGGGAACTTTCAGAAGAAACCACAAAGCAGGTGAATGCCTCTTCTTTTTTTTTTTTTAGAAACAAATCTCAAATGCCTGTTATGTAGCCTTATCTGATCACAAGAACATCCTCATCTTCTTCTTATGTGTACAAGGATTCACACCACTCTGTTTGTGGGTTTTTTTTAAAATTTTTTGAGTCTTTATGTCCAGCTTTCCTGCTATTATTGCAAGCAGTTCTTCTCAGCTGACTTTCTTGATCCATACGGAGGATGTAATCATGATCCTGTTCGTCGAGATCAGTGCAAAACATTTAGAAAGCTTCTGAACCCTCCTGATCTCAAATATCTCTGTTGCAAGGTTAGCAGCTATGCTTTCTTCTCTCCTTCCTGGCCATCATCTCTACTTGTAGCACTGCATTATGTTTTCTCTGGGACATTGTATGCTTCTTCACACCAGTAGAAACTCTCATCCACAAATAGCTGGGTTTGCTTATTTTGTGTCCCTCTTGTTTGTTGAAAATATCCTGTGTGAAACTCTTTCTATGGTAAGAGCTTTCTAGTTAGCTTCTATGTTGAAACACGAGGTGCATGGTTTCACTAATTAATAAGCAAAGCCAGTTACCACACAATTTGTTTTCTTCTATTTATGGTGCTTTGTGACAGCACATATGTATTGCATATGTTTGGAGTATATATACATACTGGTAACGGCTAGCTGATTTCGTTTGTCCTGTGCATGCTTTGTTTTCCTTCCCATCTTTCTTGCCTGACTCACAGATCTACAGTATAGATTACACCCATCTTACTTTCCTTCCCATAATACACTGTTTCTGTTGATTTGGCTCTCTTATAGAGGTTCTTTTATTATAAGTATTGTGAATATGGAATGCTTATGTTTTATCTTTGAGAACAGCTCTGTCATATACCACTTCAAATTGCCAACACAGACCAACTGAATTTTGAGCTTCAGTTGGAAAGGTATATTGATGAGACATCTGCTGCTGGAGCGTGGGGTCAAAATGCTATTCAATCTACAAAGGCGTGGCTTGAAAAAGGGATTGGAAAGATAGTCATTACAAGGGATCTAAAGTGGGGAGTTCCTCTCCCATCTGAGAAATATGAGGATAAAGTAAGAACTGCAAGCCAATATCATGAACATATATATATAAACATATTCAACTACTAATTCAAATTGTGGTTATAGGTCTTCTACGTTTGGCATAATGCTCCTATTGGTTACGTGTCAATAACTTCATGCTACACATCTGAATGGGAGAAGTGGTGGAAGAATCCTGAGAACGTCGAGCTTTATCAGTTTATGGGTAAAGACACTGTGCCACATCACACTGTGAGTATACTATTTTTCTGAGATTAGTTTACTACCCAATGACTGAATGGTACAAGTTACATTCTCTTGCTTCAGTTTTTTTCTCTGAATTTGAAGTAAAAACCTCAGAAGCAGGGAAAAGATACCTGTCTGTTCCTAAATTGGCCAAGACTTGTTTCCGGGATGAATGTCTCGCAAGACACATGCTTCTGATATTTTTGAGATTTATTTTCTGACATCCTTGTTAAAATCGTGTATTATGTGGAATTTTTTATGCTTATGAGGATATAGATATATTATATTTCCGACAGCCTTTCATTCATATCGTTTATTTTTTTTCTTTCCTTCTGCTGGTGAGAAGGAAACAAGTCCAGATCTGCTATGGTTTTGGGATTGGAATAAAGAATTGTGCTAGTCCTAGGGTTATGTTTGTGGCATTTTTAGTTCTTGGAACCACTGTAATTCAGCAGTGCATGTAGAATTAGGAGTTATGGTGAAGTCTGGCTGGTTTTTTGGATTTGATAAATATTTTCATGGTTGGTTCTTGTCTTTTACCGAAGCTATCTTCAAATTCTCACTAAGAGAGGTTTATTTTTTTAGTAATTTTGACTGTTTCAACTGCCAATTTGTTGTTATGCAGGTGATGTTTCCCTCTATGCAGCTTGGAACTGGGGAAAATTGGACACTGGTGAAGACAATCAGTGTGACTGAATATTTAAATTACAAAGGCGGTCAGTTGATGTTTCGCATTGGGAATTAGAGTACATGAGTGATTTTATTTTAAGTCAATTTTGTTGGCTTTGCTTGTTTGTTCATTATAGAAGACGAGGGTATGTTTTTTTTTTTAATGGGATTTCAGGAAAGTTATCCAAGAATAAAGGCGCTGGAGTTTTCGGGAATGCTGTAAAAGATACAAGTATCCCTGTCGAAGTATGGAGGTACTACTTACTGACCGACATGCCTGAGGTAACTGATTGTTGCTGCACAATTGGAAACATTTTTTACTTCATTGATCATTGGCATGCATGAGTGTGTAAATGTTGCCAACATGTGATTGATTCTGGGGATTTTCCATCTAGGTGTCTGACGCATCATTTGTGTCGAAGGATTTGCAAGCAAAACTGAATAACAAGTCACTGAGCAACCTTGGCAACTTTGTTAAACGAGTTCTGAGTTTTATAGCAAAGCCCGAATCTGCAGGTTGGTTATTTCTTCCCATATTTTTTTGAGTATGGTGTGGTAGCTGCAGATGACTTTCTAAGAATTAGATATCCAAGTTTGAGATATGGGATGTGTTGTATTCTTTTATTGAGTGAAGTTGTTGGATAGCAAAGAAATATCAAACTCACTTTGAAACAGTAAGAAGACTTTGGTAGCTAGAAATCTGGTTACCTGCTTATATATGTCTCTGATGTTTTGATACTGATGTGAAGGGTATGGGTCTGTCGTTCCTGACGCTCCTGGTGCTGAATCTCATCTTCCAACGGTGTCACTAGGGAGAAAGGTTGGAAAATTGGTGGAGGAGTATGTTGAAGCCATGGAAAAGGTGAGGAGTATTATATGAAATTTGGTCCGGCATGGCTATCTTAGTTTCTTATATTTTTCATAGATTTTTTTGTTCATTTGATGCCAGGTTAAGCTCAAGCAGGGGCTGAAAACTGCTATGAGTATTTCGGTTGAAGGGAACAGATACTTGCAGGCAATTCATATTTCCTCATTAACAAACTATATACAGTATTATTAGCTTTCCTGGCTGTTCAGTGTAACAGACTTTGCTGTTTTTCTTTTTCTGGTAGGAATTTCAACTACGGAAACTTGACCGTACAGATAAACCTTATTGTGCGATTGTTATAAGAACCGCGGCTGGTTTAATACACCTTCTTGCACAATTGTTAGAACCTTTCATGCCATCCTTTTCTCGCGAGGTAGGTTAGGTTTGATTGGTTGTGCTGGTATCTATGTAGTTTTCAGAAGAATGACGAGTGTGATTAGTGTTGTCTCTTGAACTTTTGTAGGTATTTAAACAGATGAACTTGCCTCCACATTTTTCCCTCTCTGACGAAAGAGGAGAGGTGTTACAAGCAAGTAGACCTTGGAAGATTCTACCTCCGAGCCACATGATAGGCACACCTCAACTATTGTTCAAGGAATTGGTAGATAGCTCTCTCATTTTCCCTTTTTGTTTGTTTTTTTTTTTAATGATCCGTAGCTTTCTTCATATAGCATTTGAATCATATCTTGTGAAATGATGTGATCACAGAAAGGTGAAGAGATGCAACAGTATGTAGAAAAGTGTCTGGCTGATAGATGTGCTAGTGATGCAGCTGCGAGTCGTAGGCGTGCTAGGAGACATGCAGCTCGCATTCGTAGATACGCCGAAGAACCAGCAAATCTGATCACGCGACTACGGTTGAGATCGAGGGAGGCAAGCAGCAGCAAATCTGACAGAGCAACATTAGAGGCTGGTTGGGATAAAGGGATGCATGAAACTTGTACTAATAGCAGTCATGATGGAGCTCTAGCAGATCTGGTGGATCAACTTAGGAGGGAACGATTGGAATCAAGGGCGGCACGCAGCTCTGAAACGAAAGGCGGAGCAATTCAGATGCTTACATGTGCTGAAGCACAAGCAAATTGGGTGCAGAAACGGTTGGGATCGAGGGAGGCTTCAGGTCTAGGGGCCGATTGATTGGGGATCCAGATTGCTCTAGCTTTTAGTTTTACTAGGATGGTCATCTTACTCTTTGTTGGTTTTCTCCTCTGTTTGATTAGCTTCTATCGTGTGAATTTTCTGGTTTGGTCTGATTTAGTTACTGTCACTAGATATGCACTTGGTTTCTTGTTATATAAGTCCCAGCATTAAAATGGTAAGTTGCTTAAGTAATTGACAGTCTCTTCCTCGACCAGAGTATCCTCTTTATCTTCCACTTTTTAAGTCTTCAAAACTCCTTTTCTTCGAAACAAACAGAGACATTGATCAAAAAAGAAAAACACCTGCATTCAAAACTTTTTGCGCCGTGGGATTGCATTTACGACAGCCTCTCGCTCTGGTATTAGTGAGTCACCACTAGTGATGTTAAATTGGGCTCTGGGCCCGCGGGCGTAAGGGGTGCGAAGCATTTATGTAATACCCGAACCCGTTTAAGACACACAAAAAAATTAATGGGTGCACCCATTGAAGCCTTTTTATAAACCACTAGTAATGTTAAATTGGGCTTTGGGCCCGCGGGCGTAAAAGGTGCGAAGCATTTATGTAATACCCAAACCCGTTTAAGACACAAAAAAAAAAAAAATGAGTGCACGCATTTAAGCCTCTTTATAAACGGGTCTGACATATAATTAAATGGGTAGTCCAATTGTTATTGATTTTTCAATCAAACGATGGTTTTAAATTTAATTTTTTTTTTGTAAGTGAAGAATTAAAAATAAAATAAAAATAAATGGGAAAGAGCTTAACGAGCTAAGTGGTTCTTACATGTAATGTATATAGAGGCACAAAAAAGAGGAAAATGAGAAAGAGTTCCCCAAGCTACAGTACGAGGTAGATGGTTTAATGATTACGGTCAGTAAGACCAGCCTCAACGGCAGGTTTTAATGAGGCTCTTTAGCCAAAAACAGATTAAAAATAAATGGTTATTAGCAAAAATAAGAGAGAACCGGTTCTTTTTGAAGAGGTGTTTATCATCTCAAGAGACGGTGACGTGGCAGAAGCTGACTGGGTGAGTTTTTTTTTTTTTTTTTCATTCAGTAATGGATTAAACATACAAAGAAAAAAAACCCACAGAAATAATCTCCAAAATATGATGAACAACCCTTTTAATCAAGCTTTCAACGACATATCGAAAATTAAGGTGATTATCAAGAAACAACCAAAACCAAGAAAAATGCGCGTATATTGAAAGAGATCGTGAACAAAGACGCATCCAATTATGGGAAGATTATTTCAAAGAAGATGCAACGTATCCAGCTAATATTTTCCGACGGTCTCTCTATACTACAAAAGATAATAACCGCCATTCGTATGTATTTATTTTCTTGTATGATTTTCATATTTATATTTGCTTCTATGTAATGTTTGTTTTAAACTCATGTCTATTTAAAAATTTATGAAATGCAACAATTTTAAAATTATTTATGTAAAAAAAAACAAGATTTTAATTTTTTTTCAAAAACCCCATGGCTCTTACCATTGGAGGACTACAAATTTAAAATCCCCACTTCTCATCTCTTCACTTCAAATTTAACAAAATTAATACTATAAATATTATAAAGACCCCCATATGGAGTTCTCTTGTTGTGGCTGCTCTAAAAAGCCAAAATGTCACTGTGACCACAGGATAGAAAGAGAGTATATCGGTAGAGGGCACAATCTGCTCAAAATTCGGAATCGTCAAATCTTTTTCTTTTTGTACATTTCAAGCTCTACATCGGTTTTACAATATGGGCAGACCGCACTCCACCATAGCCACCTTAAAATGCAATCCCTGTGATACACATGTCCACACTGAATCTTCCTTAAACTTGCGCTAGGGGATAATTCCTCCCTGCACACCATACATACTTCCTTCATGCACGCCACACATATCTTTCCATCCGTGCACACCTCACATCGCACTTCCTCCCCCACATACTCCTCCAGGTAACATTTCTGAAAAAGTATGTCAACTCTGGCTTTTACCAGGTAAGATTGACCTTCCTCCATAACCATGGCTGCCTTATCCGATAACAAAGCTGCTAGGCGGCTTAGAACCTCACGGTTAAGGTTTAGATTTCTCCCGCGTAAAGTTGCACCGATGTCTTGTCCTGGCCCGAGGCTGTATCGAAGACTCACCTTGGGATAGTTATGTTTGATACATTTCAAGGTTTCAGACCCATTAGGTTTCTTATGAACGAACTCCCTGGTCTTTTTTACATCTATACAGACTGAGGTCCTTTTTCCTGGTTTCAAGAGCTTGGCCTCGAAATCGCAGTTGAATTTGACTAGCTCCATAGAATCTGGAAGAGGAGGAAGGGAGAAGGCAAAGTCGACGACCCGAGAGCTATAACCCCACTCTTCGTCGAACCACGACACCAATTTCACGAAATTGTCGTTCAAAGCAATTCCAGCCTTTGAGTCGAATATGCTTGACCTGTTGGTTCAATGCAAAGAAAACAGTCCCATTTGGTCTCCCTAAATGGTCTCGACATTTCTAAAATAAAACCACGAATTGTTAACTTACCTGGTGTCACCCACAAAGTCGCTGGATACGACTTCATCCTCGGAGTAGCCCAGAATTCCCTTCATATTGCCTTCGGATTCCTCCCTGTGAAATTAGTTTGACCAAGTAAGCAATAAAAGTAAATCATTAAAGCATTTCATCGTATAATTTGTGGTTGTTAGCGGTTATGTGTGTAAATCTGGTTTTAAAAATTCGCTTGCCGATGCGTCGTTATTCATTTATAATCAGCATAATGTTCTCGTCTATGTGCTGGTATACGTTGATGATATTATCATCACGGGAGAAGCTAATTGGGTGACAGCTTTTAACAAGTCCTTGGCAGCTCGTTTTTCTTTAAAAGATCTTGGTCCCTTGAGTTTTTTCTTGGGGATTGAGGCTACTCGTACGTCGAAAGGGCTTCATTTGATGCAGCGGAAGTATATAACAGATATTCTTGCCAAGACAAATATGTTGTCTGCTAACACAGTCCCGACTCCTTTAGCTTCTTCTCCACCTCTGACCTTACTCTCGGGTGAGCCGCTTAAGGATGTGACTGAATATCGGCGTGTAGTTGGGAGTCTCCAGTATTTGGCTTTCACTCGACCGGATATTGCGTTTGCGGTAAACCGTTTATCACAATTTATGCATAAACCGACGGATGTTCATTGGTCTGCTGCAAAACGTGTTCTTCGTTATCTTAACGGTACTCGGTCACATGGAATTTTTCTTCGCAATGATACTCCTCTTACAGTTCATGCGTATTCGGATGCAGATTGGGGGAATGACAATGCTGTGTATGTCTCGACGAATGCGTATATTGTTTACTTTGGGGGAAGTCCTATTTCTTGGTCGTCGAAGAAACAGAGGAGTGTGTCTAGGTCCTCTACCGAAGCAGAGTATAGAGCTGTTGCTAATACTGCCTCGGAATTAAGGTGGATATGCTCCTTGCTCTCTGAGATGGGTATCAAGTTGCCAACCGCACCGGTGATTTATTGTGATAATATGGGGGCTACCTATCTTTGTGCGAATCCAGTTTTTCATTCTCGGATGAAGCATGTTGCTCTAGACTATCATTTTGTGCGTGAATATGTGCAATCGGGAGCACTTCGTGTTGTTCATGTTTCCACGGATGATCAACTGGCGGATGCTCTCACAAAGCCGTTATCTCGATACAAATTCAAAGCGTTCAATAGCAAGATTGGAGTTCAAGATTTGCCTCCATCTTGTGGGGGTGTATAAGAGAGTAATGAATCAAAGTGTAACGGTTATGTGTGTAAAGGCTAGAAGTCTCTTTAGTAGTGGAGTATGCCCTAATCTAAGTACTATATAACTCTTGTAAATGTTTATGAAAAGATCAATACACTCTCATTGATAACAAAACAAAGATCTAAAAACCTCAGCAGTTTCACGCTCCGACAAGAGTTCTTATTCTCGTACCCAAGACCATAACTGAACCGCTGGAGTCCGTAAAGAGAGTGAGAGTATCTGAGTTTGATCCACCTTGTTTCCCCAAGATACGGATTCAAAACCACAACATCACTAGGGTCTTCCAATATGCATAACAATAAACCATCACAGTGAAAGACTCGAGATACCTTTACTTGTTCTTCAAGGAAACTAGGTTTACGCTTTATAAACTCTATTGATGAATCAACGTCGTCTACAATGACCTTCATGAAACAAAGATTGTAATCCATCAACGCGATCATCATGGACTCCTCCTCTTCTCTTGTTGCTGCTTTACTAATATACATATTCCTAAAGCTCTCACTTTTGGTTAGAGAGTTCCAACTTTTGCAAGTTAATCTCACTGCTCTCAGAGATTTCAAAGGAAGCGTTAAAAAAATCTCCTCTAACAAAACCCTTGGAATATTAGAGATCATCGTCGTCATTGTTTCAAATTTAAACAAAGTGTTTTTTTTTTTCTTTCTGAATTCTTGTGGCTAATTAGGAACAATAAATTGAAGATACATAAATAAACCCTAAATAAAGTTGGATCAATCGTACGTAGGCTTCAGAATGGGCCTTTAACGATGTTGCAATATTTTATCTTAAAGCTACGTACATATAGCTAAATTAAAAGCCTAATAACCTCTCACACCTTGAAATCTCGAGAAGTTCGATATACACAACTAAATTGTGGCAAAGTACAGAGCACGTTATATTTTGTAACACACTGACTTAAACAATCGTGTGTGTTGCGGTTGAGGAGTAGTTTGATGAGCTACTCTTGATGTTTATTATAACTATAATTAAATGTATACATCAATGGCTTATGCAAGGGAGAACAATATTGAAAGAGTCATAAAGATGTTATGTCTTCTATGAAAAAGTTAGATAGACCCTATAATGTAGTTACATATATTGATTAAGACATTTGGTAGAGTCCGGGATCTTGTCGAGCTAATAAATCTCTATGGAAAAAGACGGATACGTATTGCAAGTTTCGCGTATATTAGATAATCATTAATCCATGTGCTTACGGTTTATTGGAAGAAGCATATAACATGAACTTGTTTGTTTAGAGTTCAAGAACTAGAGGAAGTCATATTTTTCCGGTTACGTGATAAAGGTTTGATGGATAAATTAGCTGTTGTTGAGCTATTATACCCACACCTAGTGTTGTAAGCTATGTGTAGTAACCCTAAACAATTGGGTTGTTTTGGTTACACACGCATGTTCAATCATTCATAAGTCATAACCCAAATCATATTGTAAGAAAAGATAGAACAAAGGTTAATACATAACGCAACAGCACGATAACATTATATTGTTCTTTATTACGTATGGTGTTCTTCTAGGAGCGTCACAAAGCGTTTCCAAAACTTCCCTCTCATTGTTCTCCCCCTGCAGATCTCAAGTGTATAATCACTACAAGCCTTATTCCAATCTCTGACTACGTCTTTATTAATCAGCTTTTCAAAATTACGGCAAATCACAACCTGTTTTTAGCAAATCGACACTTTTCTATCCTTTTGCCTCGTGTAAGATTCTTGATTTGGACCGAACTTGGGACATAAGAGCACAAAGGTTCCCTAAAGTATAGGCCTTCTGGTGGCGGTATTTCGAGATCCAATTTTCTTATGTATTTAGCCTCTCCGTTAATGATAATATATGTATTGGCATAGTCTCTATGATCAAATCCCATGAAAACTTTCTTCTTCTCATCAACGAAAAAAGTACGTGGAAAAACTATATTAGGACTCGCATCGATTCTCAAGAATTTGCTCCACGACACCATTTCGACCTCAATCTTAGTCGTAATCCATATATCAAACTCATAATCATCTGAGGCGTATTTCGCATATAAAGCTGCAAGCTTCTCATTTTTAATACAAGATAAAGTCACACTTGGAAACCTAGCGCCACATGGTAGAGGTAGAAGCGGCCCAAATCTCTCTCTTTTAAAATCAAAACAGATTATGTGTTTTATGAAATCTATAGAATCTATTTCTATAGCACACCAGTAAGTGTTTCCCTTAAGAGAAACGCCATTACCACAACACCGCACACCCCAGTATGGATCAACATTAAAACTTGTCCATAAACCAGAGTCAAAATCGTAGATTTCATACCCGAAAAATTGCATTGCCGATATACTGTTAAAACGATGTGAAAACCTGTTAAAATTATGTAAAAACCTGAAGAGTTTAACGGTACGACGACCAGACTCCTTATCCTCGTACCCGACAGCATAACTGATATTGTATGGATGGTCAGAGTATCTGAGTTTGATCCACCTTGTTTGCCTCAAATAAGGATTCCAAACCACAACCCTAGTTGTGTCTTTCAAGATGCATAGCAACAAACCCTCAAAGTGCATGACTTCACGTATGTTAACTTGTTTGTAAAGAAAAGTAAGCTGACCTTTAACCTCTACAGACGGATCAACGTCGTCGACACCAACGCCCGTTAAATAAAGCTTGTGAGGCATAACCGAAATCATCATAGTCTTAATTTCCGAGGTGCATCTTACTCATCTTGGATAAATCATTCCAACTTTTGCAAGTTAATCTCAGTGCTTTCCTAGATCCTATGGGAACCCTAGAAAGAATCTCCTCTATCAGATCCTTTGGAAGATCGGAGATCATCATCGTCGCCATTTTTGCAATAACCCTTTTTTTACTTTTCCTCTGATTTCTTGCGTTAAAGGAAAAGTATGTAACAAGTGAAGATACAAAAAAGAAACCCTAAAAGAAGATGGACCAATCTTGGGCTTCTCGGGTTTCAGAAACCACATATATATATATATATATATATACATATATATACATGTCTTTTAAAATAAAGCTCAGCACTGTTTGTTTTGTTGTATACATTCACACTGCAAGGCTTTATTTGCGGATGAGGAGTATACGAGTTGTTTGATGAGCGTCTCTGGTTAGGTTTGGAAGATGTGTAATACTGTATCTATGGTTTATGCAAGCCAAAATGATATAAAAAGAAGCTGTATAAAATTAGCATCAGGTGCTGTGGTGTAGAGGTTATCACGTTTGCCTTACACGCAAAAGGTCTCCAGTTCGATCCTGGGCAGCACCATTCTTAGCCGTTTTTTTTAATCTTTATAATCAATTCAAAAACAAAACAAAAAGCTAAGTTCTGAGCGAGCCTAAGGCATTTCGATACATATGCTGATATGCATAACAGAACCACACCTATATTAATCAATGTTCTGCAAGTGTAATCACTATAATTAAGCATTACTTTCAAAGGAGTTTACATGTAACACGGTGTTAATGTCTTTTACAGTATCAGTGTGCTTTGAACTTAGAGTTCAGAGAGATTTTTAAGGTAAAGTGAAGAGTAGACACAACGTGTTGGTTTTCATATTCAGTGATCTTCAAGACTCTATTGACTCATCGGTTTCGTTATAACCAAAAACGTAGCTGCTCAAAGCTTAAACTATGAAAAAAAGTAAAGAACATATAAGATCTTAACAAATCTTAGCTTAAAGATACTTGTTAACATCCCACCAATGATAAGGTTTTTTCCAAAAAAATGAGAAAACATTGCAAAAAATAATTACTGTTTTAATTATCATATTCTTTTATACTTTAATAAAATTTTAATTTTTGTTTTCTAGAGTAAAAAAAAATGTGTGAAAAAAAAAGATGAACAAGAGAGGGATCAGATTGGTATAACAATTGGAGCGCCCAAATTGTCGTAACAGGCTTTGAGCGGTACGCTCTTCACGCATTTATAAGCGAGATTAAACCCATTCCTCATTTCCCCTTTAACTTGCCTGAAGGATCATACCTTATCACATCACCACCTCTTCTCCTTTTTATAATAGGCCCAAGACCTTCTCACTTCTCCACTCAACCGATGTGGGATAAAATTAAAAACTTCAACTATTCTCAATTTCACCTATGTGCTTGTTTGAAAGGTCATGAAGATCCAAAACGATTTATTTGGTTTAAATAACACATCAACTGAGTTTTTACAAAGATAATTATAAGCATAACATAAAAGGAGAAAGAAGGTGATTTAATGTTGAAGAGAAGCTAAGACTGAAGATACAATGTGAAGTGAACCCGTGACTATAACCATTCCTGTGTCACTACCGCTTGTGTCATCGTTGAGAATCTTATAGGCAAGCTTTAAGGAACCAAACACAGTTTTATTTTCTGAGGCTTCCATAGACTCTAAACCTAACTCTTCAGCAGCTTTTATCCATGATTCCTTCAAAACTGAACACGCTGTTGATCTAACTTTACCTCCACCAATGTCTGCTTCTGTTAGAACCACTGCTTCTGGCTTTAGACCTGTGAGAAGTTCTTTTGCAAAAGACACCTGATCTTTGTCGCTAGCCATTGCAACCACAAACACCAATCTCTTTTCTGCAAAATCCCTCTTTATCATCTCCTTTAGAGCTCGCGCTGATTCTTTGGTGTGAGCTGAAAAAACAGAACAAAGATTGATACAGTAAACCCATTCGGAAGAAAGACACTAAAGCTATTACCAACCTCCATCAAGAAGCACTGTTGCTCCAGGCAACTGTAAAGTCTCTGCTTCTTTTGGTGTCAAAAACTGACTTCTCCCAAGTAAACGAGTATTCTCTAAGCCATCCCTAATTACTTCATCTGTCACTTTCCACCATCCTGATTATTCATCCAGAAAGTATCAAAATTTGTCAGCGTTTTAATTCTTTTGTTGCTTTATATGAACAATATAGGGAGGTTCAAAGTGCTTCATACCTTGATCGCGAAGGCAAAGAGACGTACATGTGGCAGTAACAGCATTTTGGAGCTGGTGATGTCCAAGCATGCGCAGATTTACATCACTAAGCTCAACAATCTGCATTTATTATGTATAATTTCTGGATATATTAAGAACCAAAAGGAACTTCTTGCTTTCAATAAAGGAATAAAAGGTTTCTGAAACTAACTGGTTTATCATCTTTCTCGCGTTGTATTACGATGTCACAGGACTCACAAAGCCCGATCCCATCTTTGTTGATGATACCTTTCATTGAAGAACTAGATCCAATATCAGAAGCCAAAATAACCGATGAAGACATTGATGCTGCTTTAGAACGAAGAATGTCTTCGATATGAGGAACAAACGGCCCACCTAAAACCACCTACACGTTTTGTAAGAACACATAAAATTTTATCTATCGCTGTGCTTAAAATCCAATTGTTATAAGACAAACAAATACATAAAAACCACCTAACTGGACGACCGTGTTTAATAATTCCAGATTTGGCCTCAGCTATACTTTCCAAGGAACCTCCGAGTGCAGCCATGTGTTCCTCACCTATCGTTGTTATGACCGAAGCAGCAAGATTTGAACTTTCAATGAAATTTGTAGCATCTCGAGCTCCTCCTAGCCCAGCCTGATGATACACAAACAAATAAAACAGTGCCATAAATAGTCTACAAGGTAGCAAAAGCAAGTCTTATTAGATTGTCTAATGTAGTAGGATGAGCAAAATCGCTAACCTCTATAACTGCAATATCAACATTTTCTTTCTCAAATAATGAAAAGGCTATTCCAGTGAGAATCTGCAAAGAGGTAAATATTAAATACAAATTTTCAATATCATGTGAAGTAAAGAAGTCACAAGAAGAAGCTTTGATTGGTAACCTCAAAATGACTCAAAGAACCATTTTCCTCTTTGATTGACTGATCGAGAACCGGTTTAATTGAATAGAAATGATCATTAAGAGTGGAAGCAGAGACAGGATCTCCATTACAGGAAATACGTTCTTTGATACTCAGAATATGTGGGCTGCAATGAAGCAACAAAAGCTCATGTAAGTAATCATGAAAGATTCAAACTCAATATATATAGTTAAATCTTAATCCAAAGTCAATACATTACCTAGAATAACAACCAACTGAATATCCTCCAGCACGTAAGATATTAGAGAGAAAAGCAGAAGTTGACCCTTTTCCCTTAGTTCCAGCCACATGAACTACCTATAATCACACTGCCCTCACTATTAATCTCACCTTATAGTACATCAAAACAGTAATCAGCAAACAAAGTATGCATAACACAAAAAAAGAACAATCCAAATATAAAGATGAGACCTTTATATAAAACAACTTCCAACAATTACAAGACTCTTCAATCCAGAGGATAATCTATTGTGTTGTAAAGATGAGACCTTTGAACTTAGAAATGGTGAAATAGCAAAAAGCACGAACCTTGTAATTGGAATGAGGATTACGGAGGCGAAGCATGAGACGTTTCATTCGACCGAGATCGAACCCATCACTAGAATCAGTTCCAGCTCCTTTTGGCACACCTGATTTCTCATAGTTCTTGAGAGATTCTAAAAACGCCACAAAATCACTGAGCTCGGGGTCTTCAGTAGAAGAGATGGGTGAGAAATTCCGATTTGAAGTCAAGTTTGCTGAGGGTATTGTCCTGATTCTCGGAGAAAGCTTGCAACTGGAAATGACACTCAAGTGACTCCACAGTGCCCTCATCTCACAATCAAAGTCTCTCTCTTTCTCTTTCTCTGCAAGTTTTTGTACTTTCAGGCGAAAATCTCAAAACTTTCACTTCTTCTTTTTCGTGTTCTTTGTTTATGGGCTTTGTTTATTATAATTTGGGCTTAGGATCCAACAACAAGTATAAAAGACTTACTTACAAAAAGGTTACAAATATTTGGGCTTAAGATCCAATAACAAATATAATAGTTACAAGGTTAGGATTATTTTTTTAATCCTATTTTATAATTAAGGTTATAATTTTTTGTCCTCAAATCAGATTTAAGCCTCAGCTTTGTGACTTTGTGGGAAGATTTCGTAAAATCAAAACACATTTTTGCATCTCTAAATACAATTTTTCAAGGTTGTTAGATTTAGTTATTTTAAACAACATAAATCATATAATGGTTAGGATAATCAATTCTGGAATAAAAAGATGACTAAAGAATAAGAAACATGTGATGCAATTTGATTCTTCTACTTGGAGAAGAGGTTTCGAATTTTGATGATGATTTTGACGACCAATAAGAAGAACTCAGCCATGTTGCTTAATAGCTTCAAGTAGCTTGCCATTACATGGTTTATGAGTGGCGCCAAAAATAGTCCATAAATTCGTATTGCTGATTGGACTATAGCATAAGGTTTCTCCAAAAACACTGAAATATTGGGGAAAAAAAAAAAGGATTTTAACAAAACCTTACAACTACCATTTTATAATTATATGTGATATTTAAAACATAAAACGGAAAAATTGAAAACTTACACTCAGCTCCTTTTGGGAATTCATCGAACAGAAATGTGATGTTCTTTAACAGGCTCTGAACAAAAACAAAATTGAGATAACAAAATAATATAATTATAATATATGTTGTAAGAATATTAAAAAGTATATGGAAAAAATATCTCTTATCAATATTTTCTCATTGTGAAAACTGAGAATAACTATTTTACCAATGTGACTCCTCCCGGTTTAATTGGCGATTCGATCAAAATCCTCGCATTTCTGAAATTTTTTCGTTAAATCATTTACGACATTATATGTTTATTAGTATAGATTTGAAATCAATACAATTGAGGTATTATTTCTCAAAAAATATCATTTCTAGATATGCTTTTGTTAAAAAACAAAAAAAGAAAAAAGAATGTACCTAATAACCAATCTTCCTCCTTCATCTGTAAATTCATAGAAGCTACATCCTCTTGTAAATGGAATTTTTCGTCCTTTCCATTCTTCATAACAACAAAAGATGACGAATGAAAGTATATTAAATCTAACTATATATGATAGATAACTAAGCATGTAATAATTAGGCAATATGCATTAGCTAGTGTGTATGTGTGCTAATATGTACCAAGATGCCAATTAACAGCAGCACTATGTCCATCTCCTTCACACACATTTTCAACACAAAACTTAACGTTTTGTCCCATACTCTTCACAAGTTCTTCAAAGAACCTCATAGCTTCCTGCAAAGGTAATATCTTCTTGAGTACTTTTAGTTATTCATTACAAAAACAAATCTTGAAATGTAAAACATATACACACGTTGTATAGTTTTAAATTTTTTCCTCATAGAGATATTCTTACTCTTTTTCCTCGAAAAGGCTTAGCGAAGGAGAAATCATCGATATAACAATCGTTGGAGATGCAACTACTTAATTGATCTTGATTCTTCACGTTTATAGAGGAATAAAATTTCATAACAACATCATACCCAGAGATTTTATTAGACTTAGAATTAGGTCGATCTAAACATGAGACCACAATACTTCTCCTTGAAGCTTTTTTCATCTTTCTTGGATCATTCTTGATTGCATTGAGCCGGCCAGAATGTTGTAGAGAAGGTAGATCTGGTTTGAGTCGTGGCGTTTTGAATTTGGTGATGAGACTTCTCGTAACTATTGGACTCATTACATTAACCATGGAGGCCATTGTTGTAGTATGGATCGTTTTAATTAGCATGCGACAAATAAACAATTTTGTGAATTTTGGTGGAGAATTTTAACTATGGTAAGAGAGAATGTGAAGATTGGGGTTTGCCTACTACTATATATATATATATATATGCTTTTTGTAATAGAAGTTGTTTCTTGTGAAGTTCTTTACTTCTTGGTCTAACCTTGTAATGTTCTTAGTTACTTTATTTCGCAAGAAACCTTAGCATATCCCTTACTAAATAATAATACGTTTAACGTATCAAGAAAGTTTTTTTTGCTAAGAACGTATCAAGAAACTTAAGCATCTTCTTCAAAACTTCCCTGTTTAATTTGTTTTATTGCATGTAATCAGCTGGTTCAAATTTGTAGACATGATTTCAAATATATTTTTTTCTGTACTTAGACTTATGATCACAAATCATTACACTACAAGTGTCACATAGAATGTAAAAATAGCACAACCAAACTTAATCATGGTGGTCGGAAATTGTTATGTTTTCTTGTAATGTATCTAACCATAATAGATCATCTATTTTTCTTCATCAGACCAAGCCTTCTTAATTAGTTCTTAAGCCAAGATCACAACTTCAAAAGGCCAAAAAAAAAACTAATTAAACTCGAGACGACGATCTCTAAGTTTAACCGGCGAATGCAAGATTTATAAATCCACATTCGGTTGCCCTTCAATAAAGTGTACCCTATGCTCCTGACGTCGCGTGTCATTGTCGGCAAACAAAATTCAAGTCTCTTAATTTGTTGGACATGTCATGCCCCAAAACATTACTGAAGGACACATTTCAATATAGTCTTATTAATACAAAGGATGATAACATCTCACAGCATAACTTGACTCTAACAAATACGTCGGTACATGCATTGTAATCTAAACCCAATACTACTACTTTTTAATCACCACATTCATCAAAAATTTGAAGTTTGAAACACATGTATTGTCAAAAACTATTTTAGGGAAAAATGTAAAACAGAGAACCTGTTGAATACAAAGAATGTGGTTTCCACAAAAATAGATAAAAATAAGGTAAAAACAAAGCAACAAATTTAAACATCTCTGATAAACTCAGAGGAGTTTTAGCATTTGATGTGATAAATTTGCCTCGAACCCTGCAACAACACCACCACCCACCCATGCCCCCTGTAATCTTATCGTTTTCATAATCTTCCCCCAATATTTCTAGTTTATTTCTAAATCAACCCCTATAATAAATAAAATAATACTAGCTCCCCCACCACACCTCCAAAGTTTTGCTACTACCGACACATATTTCCCACTATGATCCATACACGTGTCCATTTATTAAATCTCCTTAGGCAAAATTTGATTGACCTGTGTTGTATAGATTTTTTTTATTTTCGTCGGTTTGGGTATAAGTACAGTAAATTACAAAAAAAGAATAAAATCAAACTTGATGGTATATATTTATTAGCTTAATAGAGCTAAACATTATAATAAACATACACTTTTTTAGTTTTTTTTTTGTGTGTGTGTGTTAATTACATAACAGATGATTGCAAGATCATCAATCTGATAGTGTTAAATCAGTATCTAATTTTATCATATCAAAACAAAACACTTTTTCACGATTTTAGATTATATCTTTTTGTTGTTTGCTGATAATAATTAAAAAGCATACACTATTTAACCTTTTTTGACGACTACATTGAAAGTATATTTTAAATTAGTAATATATAAACCAAGTTACAAAAATGAAGTCTCTTTCACGATAAGACCTCTCTTTTGTGTTTTCTCTTTTTACATACAAAAAAAAAAAAAAACTCAGAAATAGAGCCACTGCATGTTCTTCTGCTTCTTCTTCAATCTCTTCATTCCACAATTTTGATTTTAGTTTTTAATTTTTTGAATTTTTTGGTTTGGTTCGTTCTTGAGAGATGAAGTTGAATAAAGATCCATCAGAGAAGCTGATGTGGGAACGGACTTTATCCGGATCCGGTTCACCGACCCGACCCGTATCCAAGTTAATGGTGACGCTCCTCCTCCTCGTCTCCGCTACTTACGTCGTCTACACTCTCAAACTCATCTCTAACTCACGTGCCTGTCACGTGGAGCCATTCTCCGCCGTTGTTCGTCGTCTCAACGACATTGTGAACTCATCCCAGCCGCTGATTCTCATCCAGTCGAATCAAACGGCGGTGATAGAACCTTTCGCGTCTCCGCCACCTTCGCCTATTCCGCCACCACCTCCTCCGCCGCAAACCGGACTCCAGCACGTGGTTTTCGGAATCGCCGCGTCGGCGAGGCTATGGAAACAGAGGAAAGAGTACATCAAGATCTGGTACAAACCAAACCAAATGCGCGGTTATGTCTGGTTAGAGAAACCGGTTAAGGAAGAGGAAGAAGAAGACGAAATCGGCCTCCCGCCGGTGAAAATCTCCGGCGATACGTCGAAGTTTCCGTATAAAAACAAGCAAGGACACAGATCGGCGATTAGAATATCGAGAATCGTCACGGAGACGCTCAAATTAGGACTCAAAGACGTGAGATGGTTCGTTATGGGAGACGACGATACAGTCTTCGTCGCCGAGAATCTAATCAGAGTTTTGAGAAAGTACGATCATACTCAGATGTATTACATCGGAAGCTTGTCGGAAAGTCATCTTCAGAACATTTACTTCTCTTACGGTATGGCTTACGGCGGCGGAGGATTCGCTATAAGTTATCCGTTAGCGGTGGCGCTGAGCAAAATGCAAGATCGGTGTATCAAAAGATATCCCGCATTGTACGGTTCCGATGATCGGATGCAAGCTTGCATGGCCGAACTCGGTGTTCCACTCACTAAAGAACTCGGTTTTCACCAGGTCAGTCATTATCACTTTTTTTTTTTTTTTAATTCGTAAATATTCTCGTAGATTCATATAAATCTCATAGTTAAATCAAGTTAGTTAATTAACTGTAAAACATGTCAAGATAATTAAAACAAATTTACACCAAACGCATTTTAAATGAGATAATTCTATGTTTTTTAAATGATCATTACTAATAAATATTTTGATCGATCAATACGAATCTAGTTAAACTATACTCGTGTTTTGTCTCAGTTGGTTATTTAGAAGTAGTTTTAACTACAGCTAGATTTTATTTTGATCATTGGGATTTAATAGTAAATGATTTTTTTTTAATAAATGTGTAGTTAATGAGCATTTAATACGCAATATCGAGATTATAAAATGTTCTTTTTTGGATTTTTTTCATTAAAAAAAAGTTTTACACGTTGTGGTTAAAGTTAAAGTTAAAATCGATTTAAAAACATCAATAATGATAAAATGCCACGTCACTGGACCACAATTTGGCCGTACGTTATTGTTGCCGGAGTAAGGTACACGTCGTCACGGTGTCAGGCCGTTTCTTTTAAAGACATGTCACGCCATTAGCGGCGCGTGTTTCGCACGTGACAATTTCCTTGTTTGTTGGTGTGTGATTTGTTTCATTGATTACAGAACCGATCGTCGGTTACCTAACAATAACCGATCGGTTTAGTAGCTTAACATCAGACCGGTGTTAATTGACTGACTATGTCTTCTTCTGTGTTTTCAGTACGATGTGTATGGCAATCTCTTCGGGTTACTAGCGGCTCACCCTGTGGCACCATTGGTTACGCTTCACCATCTCGACGTGGTCGAACCTATCTTCCCAAACATGACACGTGTTGAGGCCTTGAAGCATCTACAAGCCCCGGCTAAGCTAGACTCAGCCGGACTTATGCAACAGTCGATATGTTATGACAAACGTCGTAAATGGACTGTTTCCGTCTCTTGGGGATTCGCGGTTCAGATTTTCCGCGGAATATTTTCAGCTCGAGAGATCGAAATGCCGTCGAGAACCTTCTTGAATTGGTATAATGTATATCAAAACATTAGTAAATTACATCTAGATATATATATATGGTGTCATTTTGTTTTACAATTGTATTTTTTTCGTGTCCTGATAGGTATCGACGGGCGGATTACACGGCATACGCGTTTAATACCCGACCAGTGAGTCGTCATCCGTGCCAGAAACCATTTGTGTACTATATGACATCGACTAGTGTTCATCCGGTGACAAATATGACGGTGAGCCGTTACGAAATCCACCGTGTGGCTCATCCTGAGTGTCGGTGGAAGATGGCTAATCCAGGCGATATTAGGACGGTCATTGTTTACAAGAAACCGGACCCTCACCTTTGGGACAGAGTAAGTTGAACATTTGTGAAATAAATGTTATTACTGACGCTTTATAAGAATCTCTTAACATATGATTTCAAATTTTGTTTTTGGGGTGCAGTCTCCTAGAAGAAATTGTTGTAGGGTGAAAGCAAAGAAGAACAATACTTTGGAGATTAGTGTTGCAGCTTGCAAAGAAGGTGAAGTGGTTGAAGTTGTGTAATAAGAATATTCATGTGTTCAAACCTTTAAATTTTGCTCTTGATTCAATTATATAGATTAGTGAATTACCTATTTAAAAATGATGGAAACTTTACAAAAATTAGTTAAATAAACGATTATCATTACGTGTGATTTGTACATATTTAGTGTTCTTATATCGTCCCCAAAACATAAACAAAACAAACAAAAAAATCAGCTCAACCAAAATCCATAATGTGGTATTAATTTTCTTAGTAAGTCGACAATTTAGGCCATGTGTGACCCGGTCTACTCCTAATATTGTACATCGTCACTTCTTGTGCCTATATTGTCCGAGAGAAGCAGAACTCATGACTGATCCAGAGAACGTTATCAACGGATAGAGCTATTGAATGATCAGCTCCTACATCTCCATGTAAAAGGTTTAGTAGAAGATTGAGTGGATGACCCCAAAGGTCATTGGTTGGTTCTTTTGAAGAGTCCCTTTTGTCAGGAAGAATATTGTCCTATATGGGCAAACTAATCAGGTCTCACACTCGCATCAAAATCCATAAAACTCACTAAACGTCAAGCAAAAACTTTGTTGTTAGAAACCCAAAAACATAAAGACAATTTACAATGACTCACTTACTCTCTTTTTGTTACTTTCTTGGCATCAGATTGAAACCCAAGCAAAACAATTGTGATGCTCAGAGCAATAACAGACAGTTTCGAATTCTTATGAAGAGCCAGAAAACCAATCAACTTAACAATCCAAAAGGACAAAGCCATATTTTCAAATGGATCTTCTCTTTTGCAGAAGAGAAGCCAAGTCAAAGCCGCAGCTCTTGTAAGCCATGCACCACCTCGGATTTGATAGGCTTATTCCAACCTTCGAGAACAAAGGATCCATGATGCTCACTGTAGGTTCTTTTAACAATAGCAATGCGATCAACATCCTTACCAACACGAGACTCACAAGAGTCCTCGTATCTTATGTACACAAGAGCAGTTATGGCACTGAGTGATCCCTCATTAGGTGGCTCCAAGTCTTCAGGAGTTTCTATGGCCACTTTCAGAATCTTCAAGTTGGACAGATCATGATTCCGACCAGTGTTCTTATGAGTTGCAGCAACTGCAAGTTCCAAATATAGACGAATCCAGTCATTTTGTTCCAGCTCTGATTCCTTCACCTACAAAACCAAAACATATCAATCAATTACTATTTGTTCAAGATTATGAGCTAAAGAGCAGGCAAGTGTAGGAGCTTAATCTTACCACATAAAACCGCTTTCTATTTTCAAAAAGATCCTCAGGGGGCACTTTACCATAGCCATAGTAATCAGTTGTAAACACTCCATCTTCAGTCCCTAATACAAAGATTTAAATCTATCAGTTTGACATTTGTTGACATCTTCAGTCCCTAATGTTGACATTTGTTGCATACAAGTTAAAAATAGATTTAGCAAGTTACCTCGAGGTCTAGCAATATCAGAAGTCAAACTCAACTTGCCAAAACATACTTCATTAACTCTAGTCTGAAAAGTTAGAGGTTTGCTTCTAGCTGGATCCTTGGCAGCCAAAGTTATGTAGTAAGAGCAAGCAGCAGTAACCGTAGTCCTATTGTATTTCTTCACGCGCCTAAACTCTAAGTTTGTACCCTGGTCGATGATCAAACATATAGTAAGAAAGTGAATGTGTTACAAAGATACCAAGATAGAGAGAAAGAAGGAAAAAGAAAAGAGTTTATTGATTGATTATTAAACCTGAAGCATATTGTAACGATGAAGGCCCATCCTAGCATAAAGGAGTACTAAGCCACAACAAGGTGACAACTGATCATCGCAGATGTATTTCGTCAGTTGATGGCCATTACCCATGTACGTCGTATCGAAACCCTAAAATCCATAAAATATATGATCCATCTCTTAAAACCCTAATCTTAAGAAAGTAGTATATATATATATATATATATATATATATATATATATATATATATTTAAGAAGATGAAAAAACTACCTTGCATTTTTTGAATCGTTTCGACCTCGCATTACTACTATCCAAAGCCTCGTTGCTTTCAATCATCTGCGACATCGTTGTCTCTCCCTTCTAAAGCTTCTGTGGTTGATTTGAGTATAGACCACGCGATTGTATATCCCGTGGGCCATCAGGCCGACTCAATTTTCTGGGCTTCTATTGGGCTTCACGACCCATAATCTTTTTTCGTTTTTTTTTTTTTTTATTTTTTTTATCTTGCATTTTTTCTATTTTTGTACAATGGTTTCTTAGCCAATACGGAGATGAAGGTTGTCTGAAGAAGAAGGAGAGGAAAGTGATATCTTTGGTATCGTAAAGCTCCTAAAATTCTTGTGTTTTTATCTTTTTATCATCCATTTTGTGATAAAAACAAGAAAGATGGTCTCTGAGTATGCTAAAGACAGACCTGTGATCGATCTTTCTCAAGTTTCCGCAGCAAAGCTTCTTGGGGAACTGCATAGCACTAGAAGAAGCCATTAGAGTTTGCTTGGAAGTTGGTCTTCAAGGTATTGTTTCAGAAACCCTGCAGCCATTACCAAGATCAAAGAATCTGACCTCTCTCTCCTAACATACGGAAAAATGAAAGTAAAAAGATTCTTCACTTTCTAAATCACAACCAAGATATGATTTTTGAATAGAATTTGATCTTATTTCAAAACATGTTGTGCTACACCATCAAAGAATCCAAGATCTACCGTACATACTCACATTTTTACATGATAAATCCTGCTTTTGGAGTTAACTAAAGGTTAGGTAGTCTAAATCATTGAGACTCTGCTTTATTCTCCATAACTTGCTACAAGCCCTCATGGTAACCTTTTATGAAGATTGCAAGAGTATCTTTATAATGAGAAGCTCGTGTTAGAGTCTCCATGCCACTTCTTAAAGCCACTGCTGTATAGTAGTGTTACAGGAAAAAAGAAATGAAAAACAAGCGATAGATTAACATGAAGTTGATATCAATAACATAACTTTTGTGACACATGTATAGAAGCATTCCACTTCTCAATACTTGTAATTTACATTAGACGATGTGCAAGACCGCCACTACTAACTTGGATAGTTTAGTCAGATACAATTCTGGTAGGCAATAGCAAGCCAAACAACAGTTCTTACCAAGATCTTCCAAAACAGAGGACACATTCTCTATTTCCATGCTTCTTGTAATTATTTAGACATAGTTCAGGACTTATATCTAGCGCCCAGCTTGTAGCATAAAGCCTTGAAGCTTCCTTCAACACCTAATCACAGGCGAAAGCACTAATGGACTAGATGATGCTGGTATAGTGTTTATTTAGCTTTTGTGAATTAGATGATTTTGGTAGTTTTAGTCCTATAGCCTTCTGGTTTAGGTGCTCATACGTTGGTGATTTGTAGTTACATTTTTGTTTTTGGGTTGTAAAAGTTCTTGTGAGTTTACTTACAGTCGTTCTAAGCAATTGCAAGAAAACATGTTAAAAAGGTCAAAGTTCAAATACAAACGTGAGAAGAAGGGGAAAACATACACTGTGCCGCTTTAGTTAATTGTATTTGGCACTTATTACAAACATATTGATTCTCATTCCGTACATTACTTTTCTTGTGGAGACAAGACAAGGAAGCCAAGTCCAAGCCGCAGCTTTTATGTGCCATGCACCACCTCGGATTTGATAGGCTTATTCCGACCCTCGAGAACAAAACTTCCATGATGCTTACTGAAGGTTCTTTTAACATAAGCAATGCGATCAACATCCTTACCAACACGAGACTCACAAGAGTCCTCGTACCTTATGTAGACAAGTGCAGTTATGGCACTTAGTGATCCCTCATTAGGTGGCTCCAAGTCTTCAGGAGTTTCTATGGCCACTTTCAGAATCTTCAAGTTGGACAGATCATGATCTCGACCAGTGTTCGTATGAGTTGTGGCAACTGCAAGTTCCAAATATAGACGAATCCAGTCATTTTCTTCCAGCTCTGATTCTTTCACCTGCAAAACCAAAACAACAAATCAATCATTAGTTGTTATAGATCATGCTTCATCAGAGCAAAGCATAGCCAAATGTAAATTATGAAACTTAATCTTACCAAGTAAAACCTATTTCTATTTTCGAAAATATCCTCTGGGGGGCACTTAGGCACGCTACTTTTGAGGTAGCAGTAGTGTTCAGTTATAGCTCCATATTCAGTGTTTGTCCCTAATACAAGATTCAAATCATAATCAGTATAAGTGATGTTGTTGAATCTTGTATTACTTTAGTTGATGCATAAAAAAATGAACAACATTTGATTACCTCTAGGTCTAGCAATATCGCACGACAAAATCAACTTGCAAAAACTTTCTTCATTAACTCTAGTCTGAAAATACAAAAGTTTGCTGCTATCTAGATCCTTAGCCACCAAGGTTATATAGTAGGAGCAAGCAGCAGCGGCCGTGGTCATATTGTATTTCTTTACGTGACTGAACTGTAAGTTTTTACCCTAATCGATGATCAAACAAACAAAGTGAGAAATCGAATGTGGTACAAAAGATTCCAAGACCAATAAGACACAAGGAAAAAGAAAAAAAGAGTTTATTGATTACTAAACCTGAAGAAAATTGTAACGATGAAGACCCATCCTCGCATAAAGGCGTACTAAGCCATTACAAGGTGACCACCGATCATTACAGATGAAGTTCACCAGTTGATGACCATTACCTGTGACCGTCGTATCGAAACCCTAAGATCCATAAAATATATGATCCATCTCTTAAAACCCTAATCTTAAGAAAGTACGTGTATATATATTTATAAGAAGATGAAAAACCTACCTTGCATTTCTTGAATCGTTGCAGACGTTTCGACCTCGCATTATTACTATCCAAAGCCTCGTTGCTTTCAATCCTCTGCGACATCGTTGTCCCTCTCCCTCCTAAAGCTTCTGTGGTTGATTTGAGTATAGATCACGCGATTGTATATCCCGTGGGCCATCAGGCCGACTCAATTATCTGGGCTTTTATTGGGCTTCACGACCCATAATCTTATTTCATTTTTATTTTTGCAGTCTTTTATTTGGTTATGTTTTACAATGGTTTCTTAGCCAGAAAGTGGTTAAATATTTAAGATCTTCAAAAAAATATAAAAAATGAGGGTCAGAATTACAAGGAATCAAGGGTATATAAATTCCTTATTAACAGAAAAATTATGATCCAAAATCTTACCATGTTTCTAATTTTCTCTAGACATTTCATATTGTTAATCATAATACATATAAAATATGAAATGAAAAACAAAAGCAACCGTCACATAATATAAAACAAATAAATGTGTTTATTTAAAATATGTGGATACCTCGTGATAAAAGACTCAAACCCTAAATTTACAAAATTGTATGTTAAAAAAAAAATAGTTTTCAATGAAAATTTCATTATGATAAGAACCAATTGATTAAACTCTATCTTCGAATGTGGGAATGGTAGAAAAGTAAGTACGATGGAATGTGTAAAAATGAGTTTGGAGAAAAAAGGTACAATCTTTTATCGGCAATGATCCACAAGAGTAGTTTCAGGACGAAGAGTTCATACTGTGATCCTCGATGTATTTATTCAAGCTTGGGAATGTCGAAAAAGATATTGACTCCTCTATGTTGGAACTTAGATATAGTAACAAGATATAGTAACATGTGTTAAGCTAAATGTTTACAAACACTATTTTTCTTTTGAATATAATTTAACATTACATTTAAAAAAATATAAGCTAAATGTTTTTTTTTCTTTTTCTAGAAGTAACTTCACAAATAGGCTATAAGGACTATGTAATTTGTTTTGAATGATGGAATAAGCGAGGTATTTACCACATAGTAGCTTTTATTGCTATAAATATGTTGGTTCAAATTCACTCATTATCATTGATTGTACAGAAATAGATTGAGGATCAATTGTATTATATATAAAAAGTATCGAAGAAGTTTAGAAATGATTTTTACATATAGGGCCGGTTCACATGTTTTATAAAATCCTAAGCGAAAATATGATATTTAATATATCAATAAAAATATTTTTGGTTTATTATAATAATATATAATTTATTACATTCGTTTTAATAAATATGCACAAACTTTAAAAGTAATTTAATATATAAATATACATATCTCTTTGTTAGAAAGAAAAAAAAACTAATAACATGTATAAAATTTAATTAAATTGCCTAAAAACTTACAAAATATCGTAACTCCATGTGATTTCACAAAAAAAATAATAATATACATGACACAAACTAGAGAAATATTTGCATTATAATAAAATATTTGTATATAATAATAATAATAAGATGTTAAGAGTAACATTATAAGATACCCTCTAATGTAAATCTTATGCCTAAGATCCCATTGATAATGTTGGTCTGAGAGGGTATTGTCTATAAGAGTATAACATCATAGATCCATAAGAGTATATATACAATCCTAGATCTTTTCTACAAAATCAAATAATGTTGAATTTTTTTGTTGGCTATTTGAATTATTAACAATGTGACACATGAACCATAAATTAGTAAAAAAGAAAAAACTGGATTAGAATATATTTTCTAAAAAGCATTTTAAATTGGACAGTAAAAGTGCACAAACAGTATTGCATTTAGCAAACAAATGTACTGTAGGATAAACAAATCTCTTCTGCTCAAAAAAAAAAAGGATAAACAAATCTATTTCTAAATAGTTTGAGATATATGGTTCTAGAATATGTAATGGATTTGAAAAGACACTTGATAATATTTTCTTTAACAAAAAACAAATGTATGATTCACACACACTAAGAAAGAAAAAAAAGTATATAATAAGAATGATAAAACAAATAAAAATATCCTACAAGAGTTGATATTGACGAACCAACTAACTCATATATATTAATACATCCGTGTCCACCCAATCCATAATCCAATCAGACAACGGTATACAACATATATCAAAATATCTAATTTGGTTTTTCTTTCTTTCTTATCTAACTAAACCGTTACATAACCGAATCGGTTTCTGAAAAATATGTTTCCATAAAGACAACTAGAGATCACTTTGTTTGTTTCCTAAATAAATCTTCTTTTAATAAAAATTTTCAGACAAGATCATGAAGTAACTGAGCTCCCATAAGATTCCTATAAGGCAAATTCTGAACTTGATCATCATCTAACATCGACGCTGAGTACTGATGAACCGGTCCTTCTTGTTCCATGTGGTCTCTAATATTACTAGTACCGTAGTAAAGCTGACCAGTAGTAGTAGTAGTAGTGCCTTGATGAGCCGTCGTCAAAGGAGACAACGCTAAACTCACTCCACCGTTACCGTCGTTGCGTTGCTGTAACCCGAGCGTCAACGACACGTCACCACGTGGCCCTCCTCCTTCACCAGCGTATGTCACAGCCTGGTTGTTACCGTACAATGAAAAGTCAAACGTTGACCCGAACGTCGTCGTCGTTGCCTTGGTCTGACCGGTCATTTTGGAAGTAGGGTTTGTCACTATCGAAGATAAAGATTCCGGTTCGACACGAATCATCTGGTTAGGATCCGGTTTAGTGTCGATCATCATCATCATCATCGGGTTTGTAGTAGTAGTAGTGATGTCCATGACTTGTTCGCCTCTTGTTTCTTCACAGTACATTTCTTCAATCATTGGTTTCCATAGCCTAACTCTTGCATTAATGAACCAATTTGATACCTAACAAATTTGGTTTATTAGTAAGTAATATTTTTGTTTTTGGAGTGTAATCAAGAATTAGCTAGTGAAGTTTTATTTGTTATTATTACCTGACTTCTTGATAAACCAGTTTGTCGGGCCAATATGTGCTTATCAACATCGCTTGGATATCTGAAAAAAATGAAAAGAATTTGTTTTTTTTTTTTTTTTACTTGATGGAAATAAAATAACAACATGTAGTTGTAAAAATGTAATGATTGAAGAATGATGCAAAGAAAATGGAAGCAAAGGTAAAGGGTTTGGTGAAAACTAACAAGATGTTTCATTGTTTGAGCAGTGTTTTGGGAATTGATTGAGACAAGTCTTACATATGATATGATATAATTGTTTCTGAAAATATTAAAATTATTATAAAAAAAAAAAAGAAGAGAGGAAAAAAACAAAATAAAAACATATGGAGAGGAAAATATAAAGCAAGGAGTTATGCATAGTTTCTCACTTTTGTTAGTGTTAGGTAAAGAACATTGATTCTCTCTCTCTCTCTCTCTCAATCCACTTTGTACCTTTCTCTATTTCTGTCTTTCATCCACCAGTTAAATTTTTAATTTCTTCATTTCTTTTATAAAAATGTATTGTTGTGTCTACTACTACATGTGTATATATATGTTTGTACACTCACTTTCACACCAATGATGCAATTGATGAAAAGAAAAAAGAGAAAGAAAAAAAAGCTTTATGCAATTAACAGATTAAGGATGATTGTATCCTATGCTTGTCATATCAATCTCATTCCCTCTATATAATACTATGTAATATAACATTTTACCTCTTCACAAAAAATTCATGTAGCAAAACAACTATAAAATGCTTTTAACCTTTACCTATGCTATTATAAATGCTTCTATCTTCATAAATGAAGTAAATTCATTCGAGTTTTTACATATGCATTCAAACTAGCTTTAACTCTTGTGATTCTAGATTCAATATGCATGTGTCACTTAAAAGACACATACTTAGTAAATTATAGTAATTAATCATTGTAAAACGTTATAAATGATGCTTTAAAAGTATATATATTAATTAAGAGGGTGTGTGTATTGAAGTAACTTACGGGTGAAGGAAGTGTTCAAAGAGCCAAGCTCTCAACGTTGTGACGGCTCGTTCAGGCAAACCTCGTTGTGGACGCCAAGGATGAGCGTCGACGAGAGTCATTTGTCTATACGATTTCTGTTGCCGCAAAGCTTGGTCGAGCAACCTCAGCCGTGGAGTTTCGCCTCTTGCCGCTATCGAGACCGCACGGCTATCTTCTTCTCTTTCTCCCAAGGCTTGGCTCGTGGCTTGAATCTGTCCTACAAGACCGTCTTTTAAACACCTGAAGTGTCTTGACATTGCCCTCGACGCTAAAGCCGTGTATACCTCGGCCGCTCCTACACCAACCGCGGCTTCAAATGATGCAGCCGCAACTCTCATTTGCTCTCGGTAATGTCCATATCTTCTTTTAAGCTGTCCAAAGAAAGAAAATGTTACCCCACACCATTCACGAAGATTTCAATCAAATATCGTATAAATGTAAATTCGCATATAATTAAAGAGAGAGTAATTCATGAAAAAGAAACAACTCGTTATGGCTTATGATGATGATGAAACTGGTTGCTATTAATATGGAGGACCACTAGAGTCTCCAAATTAGATCAAAGCAAAAGAAAATAAATTTTATTTTTGGTTCTATATTAAAAAAGAAATAATTAATGAGTAAAGGAATTTTAAAGGGTTTTTTTTTATATATCTTTTCGTAAGTGATACGATCGAACATGTTTTCAAAGAGAATACATGAAAGAATGAAGACAAAAAGGAATCTTTTTATCTTATATCTTAAAAGAAATTTGTATCTTTAAGAGAAAAAAAATATATATATGGACCTTAATTAAAAATCGAAAAGATACAAGATTTTTGGGTATTTTACATATTTAGGAATAAGTTGAAACCAAATGAAAAGAAACAAAAATTTGTTTTTGATTTGTTAACAAACCCATGAAATGGTTTGATACAAGATTTGTGGGTATTTTACATTTTTAGGAATAAATTGACACCAAAATTAAAGATTTCTTTTAAGAAACGACCATATGAAAAGTTTTGATAATAGAATATGAGTTTCTTGTGAATTTGGATTAATATATATACCTCTTCGAGCATGGAGAGTAACTTGGCTTTTCTTTTCTGAAGTTCCATGAACTCAAGAGAGTGAAGAGGTGGAACATGTTTCTTGGAAGAAGTAGTTGCGGATTGGTCTTGTTGGTCATTATTGTTGTGACTTGTGTCCCAATCTTCCTGTTGTTTACCCTTTTGCTTCCTCTTATTCTTCATCATCATCACTTCTTCATCACTTTCCTTTACGCCAAGACTGCAAAACTCACTTAGTAGCTCTTGAGCTGGACTCAAATATTTGGAACTCCCAATCTGAAACTGATGATGATGATGATGCTGATGGTTGTTGTTTTGGTGGTGACTGTTCATCATCATCATCATCATCTGGCTGTGTTGGAGGTTCTGATGGTGTGTTGATGATTTACCAGAATACCCTTGTTGGGTTCTGAGGTCGAAGGATTGGAGACTGATGCTGGAAGGATTTGAAGAGGAGAGAGAAAGGGAGAGACCTTGGCTTGGTCTTTGTGGTGGTCTCTCGTCATTTACTTCACTTGGGAAATCATTATTAACATTGCATAGTCTCATGGTAGATGAAGAATCTTCTAGAAGCTGATTCTGATCAGTACCACCACTTGTCTGATCATGATGGTGATGATGATCCGGACCACTAGTCGTCATCCTAATCTGTTGTTGCTTGGAGAAGTCTATCATCATCCCCATGTTGGAGTTTGAGCCAAAGATCTGATGGTTATATTGATGATGATGATGATGATCGGTTTGGTTTTGGTTCGTCTCATCAAACCCTTGGATCTGATTAATCATTTGATGTTGTTGTTGTTGTTGCTCTTGGTTATGATGATGACCATAGAACTGATCTCTCGCCATGTCTCAAGAACTAAAAAGAAGACAAGAGAAGAGGAAAAAAGAAAGAAGAAAACTCTTTTTTGGGACACCAACTAGGAATTTCAATAAGATCTACAAGAACCCATATCCAAGAAAGTTAAAAAAGAACCAATAAACAAAACAGAAAGGCAAATCTTTTTCATACCCAAAGTCGCCAAAAGAAACAAGAAAACAAAACTTTGTTTCAGAACCAAGAAAATATATATAAAAGAGAGATAGCTCGATCTCCTAAAACCCTACAAGAAAGTTTTTGCATAAAGAAAGTTTCTTCTAGGTGAAGATGGGGAGAGGGATAGAGAGAGATTAGGCAGAGAAGATAGAGGAAGAAGAAGAAGAAGAATAAAAGAATTAAACAGAAGAGATATAACAGAGAGAAAGAGAGAGAGAGAGAGGTGAGTGAAGCCACACAATCTCTTTTTCTTCTCTTTCTCTTTGTTGTTTTGTACTTTGACAAAATTTAATTTTTCTTTTAGTATGGGTTCTGTAAATTGTGTACTACAGGCAAAAAAACTTTTATAAATTGGTAAAAATAAAAAATAAAATAAAAAACCTAGGAAGAAAAAAAAATAAAATCAGATGAGGGTATGTATCTACTTCAGAGATCAGAAGATAGGTGATCATGACCCTCCTCCCCATAGACTCCTATAGCTCCATAGCCATCAATGTTTTTAATCTCTCTCTCTCTCTATCTCTATTTATACATATATCACAAGTGGGTCAAAATGCTTTATTAAAAAAAAAAAACTTAATTTTATTTTCTTGAATATTTTTTCCACATATAAATGCTTGTCAACTTTTTATTTTTATTTTTGTCACAAAGCTTTTTTCAAATATATATTTAAGTTTGTAATTTGGTATAAACATATTATTGAAACGTATACTCTTATTTATATTTCTTCTTCTTCTTTGACGACGTATTATTAAGTCTGACCAAGAAAATACAACAGGTGTCTCCCTCTATATTCATTCATTATTTTTTTCTTCATTTCAATTATTAAGAACCTACTAATTTGAAAAAAAAAATTGTTATTAGAAGAAAAATTCAAACAGGATGATATATACGTGACATGTATACGTACATAAGTCCTGTGATTAGAAATAAAACAAGAGAACCTTTGCCTGGTACACAAAGCCGTCGTACGTGTGACATATCTCTAAACGTTTATTTAATTATTTCTTAAACATGCTTAGTAGTATTTTGATATAGAACCTATACGTGTAATATGGGTATGCAGGTTAGTAAATTGTTATATATAATATATTATCCAAGAAAATGATATTCTTAATTTCGTTGTTGCTATGTGAGCAAGATTGATATTACTTAAATATTTTTGTAACAATTAAAAAAAACATAAAAAATTGATGAAGCAAGCACAAACGTCTCTCAATGATTTTCTAAATTTGAAAATAATATTCTATAAATGATTTAGCCAGTCACGTGAATGTACAAATATAAACTATATATACTTTTTGTACAAAGGGTATCCCTTTTTCTATGTATGTATATGTATCACACATACGTATGTCTCTGCTTTGTCGAAAGTATAGTAAAATTAATCATAGAAATATTAGAGAGTAAATATATCTAAATTAGTTTATGTTTTAACATACCAATACATGATAATAATATATATATATATATATATATATATAAGTAGGTGTATATATTATATAATATATGGAGAGGGTAAAATAAAAAAAATGAAAGGGGAACACGAATCCCAAGGAATGAAACCAGAAGTAGGAGTTGAGTTCAGGCTTTTCTCAGATATGTCTCAGTGTCACTTCTCTTCTGTTTAAACCATTACTACATTAACCCGATCCACAAATATAATTTTTATATTCAAAACAATTTTAATAGATTAAAGCGATTTTTGTATTTTTGTTTCTTTTGGGTGCAAATAACGTGATTAAGAGTTCAACGTTATATGTAATTAACTATATAGAAAATAATCTATTGTGTTCTCTTTTTAAAATATGTTGTTAGCCGGTCACTAACTAATCTAGAAAGTACATAAAAGAAAAAATAATTTTCATTCGTTTCTGTTTAATACATAAAAGGAAAAAGAACAATATTCAAAGTCTTATTAAAAATTGTTGACACAGAAAATACAAATGAGAAAAAGTGTTCATTTATTTTAATAAATTGTGTTATTCTGGTAAATATACAAAACATATATATTCGACATTTCTTAACAAGCAAATGAGAGATTGTTTAATTAAATAATAAGTCTAAATAATAAGTCAAACACCACAATAATATATATGAAAGAACGTATAAATTAACTAAAGTAAAAGTATATATATATATTAAGAAGTTGATTTATTATATGAAAATAGTTATTTTAAGTAGGGATATTTTTGGTTTAGTTAAACACATCAAGGCAAGTTGTAAAAAACAGGACATAAAAAAAAAAAGATAACATAGAAGAGACAAAAAAACGACACTGTGTTTGTAGTTATTTAACAAACACAAAATATTATAAATAGAATCACCCCAAAATAGATTACTTCTTTCATTGGATGGATAAAATATTGAATTTTCTTATAAATAACAAATCTGACTATAACTTATAACCCAACAATTCAACAAAAATTTGATATTACTTGTGTAGCAGAGTATTCACATTCACTATCTCAATTATAGTATAAACATATACATCAAGTTCATGCCAAAAGAAGGATTTCTAAAGTAAATCTATTTTGTAGTAAATACGTCTCATGTGTTAGTTAATTATAAACTGTATTAATTAGATCAGAGTATCAAGGAAGTACAGGATAAGAATATATAATCCAACACTTTTAGGTTTTACATTAATATCAAAACAAACTACTAATTAGAATATGGGATATTTGATTTATAAATGTTGTTTTAAAAAAAAGAATTGTTCCCAGACTAAGGGACTGTGCATGAGAGGTGTACATGATTAAAGTGGTCCACCATGCATTTTTTCTTCTTCTTTTCTAATTTCTTTCTTCTTTAATTAAAATTTGTTCCACCATAATAATTAAAAAAATGCATTTAATTTTATTTTCTTCTTTCTTGGGACCATTTTCTTCTTTTTCTTTCATTTTTTTCTCTAATTCTTGCATTTATATTCACATTTTAAATGAACTAGATAGATAGATATATCCTCACATTTTTTTTTTTTTCAAGACAAAAAAAAAAGAAGATATATCCTCTCTCCCACTCGCCAATTTCTAAAGAAAACAACTCATTAACTAAAAAGCATCTTCGACAAAAAAAAAAAAGCATCTATATGATATATATGCCCAAAATATATAAAAGAAAAATGTTTAGAAGCCTCTATAATCTATATTAATGTACTAGTCTTAACCGACTGAATTAGGACATTTTAAAGTGATTACATGTTAGAAATTTCGATACAAAAAAAAAGCAGCCGATGTATATATATAAAAAAAAATACGATATAATGAAAAAAAAAAACTAGTGAGTAACATATATATATATACTTTTCTTAATTTCTTGTATACACTTAATTATCACAATTTAGTGTGTGTGTGTGTGTGTGTACAAGCAATGTTAGGTATGATTCCACAGTCCAAACAACTTTTTGATAATACAAGTCAACAACAAAAATCTTTTATTAGGTCACAATTTTTTTTCAAACTGTTATCACACAAAATTAAAACTGATCATGAATGATTTACAATATGTAGACGCATTGCTCTAAAATAAGTTTTATAGACAAAAAAAAAAAACTTAGCTTTATTGTTAATTTAACCAAATTGGTAAATAAATAAGTCAAGAAAAAAGTTAATAATATATCAGACTTGCATGTGTTAATATATTTACAATTTATATATATATTAAGAAGAAATTAAAGGTATCTGTAACATGATGTTTTCGTTTTCCATTAACAACATATATAAAAACACGAAAAAATTAAGGAAATTAAGGAAAAAAAAAACATAAAATTTTATGATAAAAATATATATATAATCAAACACTAAAACAACGAAATTAAATATATAAAAAAATGGGATTAGTCACGTGGCAAACACGCGCCATGTATAATGGAGTGGGCTTATTAAAAAAAAACATTCAAAAAAGAAGGAAAGTGGTCCAACCCGAAACGGAAGCTCTTTCCGCCGTTTCATACCCAAAAAAATTCCACAAAACAAAAACAAAAATCAATATTTTGCGTTATTCCGAGAATACCCTCTAATGATGCTTGACGTCATCTCTTCAGACCTTTTTATTTAAGATTGACAGAGAGATACCTATAAAGAATATGATCATATCTCTTCTTCCATCATATATATATAGAATAGCACTTTCAAGCTAATAAAAATGTGTGAAAGAAATAACAAAACGTAAAAAAAAAAAAAAAAGTCTACAAATGTCAAATATTAAAAATGAAACACAAGTACATTTATATATCATCATCAACAAATTAAAAGACAAATCAATCATAACCGTTAAAAAGAAGAGAATACAAGAAGAAAAAACAATAAAATGGGATCATTCATCATCATAAGAGTGGGAAAAAGGTAGAAATCTGAGAGTTCTGATAAAATGTCTGAGACAGTACACAGTTTTGAGCTTTAGGGTTTTTATAAAACAAAAAAATTTAAAGTGTTTCTTGAAACTTGAAACTATAAACTCTGAGCTTCTTCCACAGATGACAGTCCTCATGAATATATATGTATATGATCTCATCACTCTTCTCTCTTCCTTTATACATTCTTGCAGACTTGTTCATACATAGTGTGGTCCAAACTCTCTTTTACATATCCACATTTACATATATATGTTTTATTTTGTTTATCTATCTTTATATATGATTGAATCGAACAGAGAGTGGTATATATGTTTTCCCCTTAACCAAAGTTGTTTCCTAATTATTGCTTCCGGGACCATTCTTTTCTCTTCTTTTTTTTTGGTCCATCAATGTGAATTCTTCCATAAACTATACTCCCATAACTATCTATTAAATAGAGGATTGAATGTTTTTTATGAAGTTATTATTACGTGTGTGTATAGTTTGAATGTACCTTTTAACTAGTTTCTGAAAGAACAAAACAAAACTGAATTCATGTTCGAGGAGATTTATGCTATTTCACCATAAAGAAAAGCAAACAAAAATTCATGAGGTGAAGAACTTTATTGAGATACGAGTTGTCATTATTTTTGCTATGTTTTATTGTGATTCATTACAAAAAAGAAGTGAAAATGTACTTATATGTAAAATGATTAGTTTGAATATAATAAGTTACATTTTAAAGAATTAGAAATTTGAAGTTATTTTAACTAGAACAAAGTCGTAATACATTATTAAAAAAATCATTGAATCTTTCTAATATGAGTTTATTTTTCCTAGATAATGGTTGAAATATTATAATGATCGAACAATTCAAGTAAAATAACAAATTAATTATGACCCAAAAAAGAGAGCTGACAGAAGTACTTAATTAGTGACAATTAAGCTATAAATCGACATGCTTAATATGACTTGCGAGAGCTTGTTTGAACATAGGCTGAGTATTAGTTCGGAGGAATAAGTAATATTAATATAATGATCCGATTCTTAATTCATATTATAATTAGCAAGTAATCGACGTATATATCTTTGTAGACGAGAAGACGTATTGTTTAAATAAATCTACTTCACTAGCTAGGTGTTTCTCAAGTGATTATGTAAACATACTATAATGTTTTGTATCTTTGCACGTATGCATCATGACACTAGTATCACATTTTAACTTATAATATTAAGAACAATTTAATATTGCTAATCTGGTTAACTCTTTTTGATCTGGCTAATTTTTATTTAATTGCTAAGTTATGGTTGCTTGTACATATTTAATGAGTTTTTGTCACCGTCGAAGACTTTTTCAACATAAACTATTAATTCTACGATCGCGCAATTGATTATTTTTAATTAGGTATAACCTGTAATCCTTTTTTTTTCAAAAGAATATTATTTTTGCATGGAAAACAAATCTCGTGGTAGCTCCAAGACTCTTACTTTATAGTTTGTTGAAATATTAAAAAATACTTCTTCTTTTGTTGCTTTCGAAAAGTTGTTTCATCAACAAAACTATAATTATCTAAACCGAAAGTACAAATCCTATATACCAAAACAAATTACAAATCGAATTCTAGCAATATAGGATCCAAATATTTGCTTTTCTTTTCTTTTATTTTTTTTAAAAATATGTCGACTATTCAATAAACTAATAAAAGAAATAAAAATCCTCCAAAACCTCATATAAGTCTTTTTAAAAGCTGGCTAATATATTGGTAAATAATGACGATACAATCAAACAAACTAACAAACCATTTCGTTTTCTGATACTCCACGTACGATACAATCAATATATACGAAAATTTTCAGTTTGAAATAGGAATTAAGAGAAACTTTCAAATGAAAACATTTCGATATCAAGAAAGTCAAAAGTTTTGCAGTAGATCTAATCCGGCCCTAAGTAAGTTGGAACCTAAAACAAACCTAAAGACCATGGCTTATGTGAAAAGTAGATATAACCAAGATTTTAGCTTAGGAAAACTAAGGCAACAGCTTTAGCATTACACTTTATTTTTGCCAACTCTATTGGGCTTATAACACTCCAAAAAAAAATGATTGGTTTTGTCTTTCCCTCACTGGTTTAAAACCTTAGCTTGATTTGGGTTTTTTGATTATTTACCTTTCTTGGTTTGATGAATCAAAAAATAGAAATTGATACATTGGTCTGAATCTTTAATGACTTTCTACATGTTCAGTGTGGTTGTGGTATATAAAGAAAGCACTTGAACCAACCAATTTAGGCGACCCATGAAGGTGTAAGCCCAATAGAGTTGGCATAGGCCCATTTCTTTCATTTTAGGATGACATAATGAGAATACTTTCCTCTAGGATTGGTCCGGTTGGAGAATATTGCATAACTATTGTCATAGTTGTTGTTAGGCATTGAATTATTTGGTCAGAGGTACTTGGTTTGATGGTGTCAAAGGGCTCAAGGGTGCAGCCTCATCTTCTAGCTTGCCTCCCCTCGTACAATAGTGTGATGCAAGAGTCGAAAAAGAGTATAGTTGTACTTCTTAAGCTCCACAAAACTGAATTAAATACAAAGAAAGGCCACGTTAAGGAATGAGCGACATTAGATTCTCTGGCTCAGTTAGTTGTAGTAGCTGTCTTTGTACTTCTTCATCAAGCAAACATATTTGAGTTATTACTAAATAAATAAACCTTTTTTAATATTTATACATATTGCGAATCTTTAATATATACAAAAGAGTTATTTCACACATAAATATAAAAGATGTGTTCTATATTGAAGATGTTTATTTTTGTTGGTCACCTTGAAGATGTTTATATATATACTTAATTACGTGCTAAATAATACACATCTTCACTTTTAAATTAGTGTTTACGAGCACGGATGTTTTTTTTAATAGGCAACATAATACAAACTTTACAAACGACTTATTTATTTACTTAGCCTTCATTAAGCAGTCTTGGTTGGATTGAGCTGGTCTTCTTGTTAATGTCTCTAATACTACCAAAATCTGCCAGTTATTGTGACATACATTTAGAGATGGTATGCCATATCATCTTTTTCTTTTGTTTAATTGTGTCCTTAATTATTAATCTCTTTGTTAATTTATATACCATCTATTTTCTTTTTCTCTAAGAACGATCGATTTTGCTGCTTAAATACAGAATGAACAAATAGGTCAAAAACATACGAATTGATGAAGAGAAATAGAAAGTAACAAAAAGTTGAAAAATATCTAAAACTTTTCAAAGAGATAGATTTTTATGGTCACCTAACATACACTCATAATATTATTAGGTGGGAAAAATATTGCAGCTTTTTTACTAAAAGAAAATAGCTGAAAAATATTTTTTTTCTCACATGTTTTGGGGGTCAAAGGTGAGAACAACATTAGCTGGATTTTACGATATTTTTCTAACTAAATTTTTTTCTCTTGTGGTCTATATGTTTTGTTTCCCTATCCACTCCTCACTTCTCTAAATTACTCTAGGAGCTTACCGGTTACACTATATGTTCGTTATAAGCTTATATATATGTATTAATTACATACTTATATGATATGATAGAGAGATGTAAGTAAATGTGCATAAAGATACAAGAAAGTGTTAAATGTGGGAATGTGAAATGTTGGGAGGAAGAGACGATGGAGAGTGTGTGGGACTGTGCTGCTTTGGCACTTTCAGACATTTTTATTCAGGTCCCCCATATGACTTGACTACCACTCTCTCTCTCTCTCTCTCTCTCTCTCTCTCTCTCTCTCTCTCTCTCTCTCTCTCTCTCTCTCTCTCTCTCGTAGCTCTTCACTATTATTGTTTCATTAAATAGTTGTAGAAACAAGTTGTTCTTGTTGTTTTTTCTAAGTCATGAAATGAAATGAATACGAAGTAACATTATTGTTTTATGATTAATTTCGTGTAATCTCCTATTTTGTTGCTTAACAGTAAACACCAGTTAATCCCGAGCGTCCGACTAACGTCTCACGATGTTCTGAACAAAAGTTCTATCAAGAAGTGATTCTAATACATATTAAACATTGTTTATATGTTGTATATTATTATGGTTTCATAATCAATTTAAGAAATTAAATATAGTCAAATCAATAGACGATCCATCAGACGTAGAGAAAACTGAATTGAAATGAACCGAACAATCTGTCTTCACGTCACATCTTTTTTTTTTTTTTTTTTTTTGTCGTGTGCGCACATTGATACATCAATAATGTTCTATATTAAGGAAAATTTTTGAATACCACATATTCCTAATCTAAAATCTTGTATAGTCGCTAATTTATTTTAGACATGTGTAAATCCAATATATATGTTATATGTACAGATAAGTTGGTATAACAATTGTATAAATACGAGGGACAAAGACAATAACATGATGTTGAAATTGCACTTAAAATGATGCCTCAGAACAAAACCATTGTCGGCTCCATCTTATTTTTTGGTTATGTTTTCTCTATAAATGCATATATATATTCCAAAATTTATGCTACTGTAACATTTGATTCGTGGAACCATCTGAAACCATTTAAAACTCTCTTTTTCTTTTGTCAATAAAACCATTCAAATCCATTTTGTCCCCACCTTCATGTTTTCTTCTGTACATTTTCTCGAAGTTTTATGCCTTTTTTTAATTATCATTATCGTTGCTTTTTTCCTCCAAATGATTTGTTAGTTTAATTTTATGAATTTGTTTGGCATGTAGACAAAGATAAATACTTCTTTGAATTAATTTGATCGTAATCCTATACCGTTTTGGTATAAAATATACCGTTTGACAATTATCAACCATAAAAACAATATAAAAAATTATTAAAAATTTTACTTTCAATTTTTAATATAATAGTCACGTATCACCTTTTTTTTTTACTGTTTAGCTCTACATTATAATATGATTTCAACTTACAATTTTTTGATAAAGTTTATTCTATGTTACCAATCGGACTCAAATATAATAAGTTTTTGAACTCTAAATACAATTAAGTTAAAAGTTATCTGTAGACATATTTAAGGTTTGGTACGTGATACTAATTTTGGTGTGAAGATTAATAACGAAACTCAAGTGATTACACACGGCATTTGCATTATTTGTATTTATATAGTAATAATGAGAAACTATATAATTACTTAATTAGTAGCTATTAATTATATATGAAGTGTGTTATGAAAAATATAAAATAAAAAGAAACATATTATCACTGACCCACGTGTATATATATCCCACTCTTCTCCACCTTTTTCTATAAACGCTCTCAATCTCTCTCTATATACCTCTTTATAGCTTTCTCTCTCTAACGGCGAAGCAATGGGTTATCCGGTGGGTTACACTGAGCTCCTCCTCCCAAGAATCTTCCTTCACTTACTCTCTCTCTTAGGCTTAATCCGAACACTCATAGACACCGGTTTCCGGATACTTGGTCTACCCGACTTCCTCGAATCCGAACCGGTTTCTACGTCACAATCTTGGCCGGAACCACCGTATGTTTCCTCCACGGCGGTGCATCATCACAACCAAGAAAACTCATATTTCTTCCCCGTGGCGGCGAGGCTAGCCGGGGAAATATTACCGGTTATCAGATTCTCGGAGATAAACCGACCAGGATTCGGATCCGGATCAGACTGCTGCGCCGTGTGCCTCCACGAGTTCGAGAACGAAGACGAGATCCGACGGCTGACGAACTGCCAGCACATATTTCATCGGAGCTGTTTGGACCGTTGGATGATGGGTTATAATCAGATGACGTGTCCGCTTTGTAGAACGGCGTTTATTCCTGATGAGTTACAAGTTGCTTTTAACCAACGTGTCTTGTCTGAATCTGAACTCCTCAGCTGAATCTACGACTTTAGAATCTTTAATTTATCAAGAACTACTTAGAATCTTTTTTGGATGGAATTAATTAGTTTCTACAAATGAGAATATAATTTCTTTCTTTTTTGTGTATTTTTTTTGTTTTGTTTTTTTGCTTTAATATTTAGCTGGGTTGAGTGGTTGATATGTATGTAAATATAAAATTATAGATGGTGCAAAGTAAAATTAGAAGGATGGAAATATGTATTATCCCACTGAGGGAAAAGAAAAAGAAAAAGAAAAGAAAAAGTTTAGTTTTTACTATTTATAGACTTTTTTTTTAACTCCAACTTTGGAGGGAGGAGATGATAATTAATCACACAAGTTGACAAGAGATAGTGATACTTTTAGACTGACCCTTTCCTGGAACATTTGTCGACCTGATATTATTAATTTGGGAATTTTACTGATCTCTTATTCTTATCCAAAAATGTTTTCTTACAGCTTACTGTGATTAAGAGAATTAAAAGATCAATTCAGTAATGAACAAGAGTATTTGGAAAGCCCTAGCTGGCTAACCATTGGTAATATATAATTAACTATAGTATAAACTCAGAACAAAATGGTTTAGCAACAATTGTATGGATCTGAATACATATAAGTTTATACATCATTTCACATACAGACAGGACATTCATGATCATGATCATATATCTTAATGACTAGAGAATCCTCTATGCTCAGTTCACAAACAACAAACATATTATTAAACCGTTAAACTTAATTCTCGATCTTACCTCAGTTCAGAAACCATCCATCCTATTCGTTCTTTATCACTTCATTTTTACTATTAGTCATATCGTTTAGTTTTCTTGAAATGAGCGTTAAAAAAAATTCATGTAGTACCGTAATTGTCCTGATCTTATCATGATGCAAATTAGGTGTGTTTAGATATGATTAATTTGTAAGACTTCATAGTCTCAGCTCTCAACGTATTGGAAATGGAGAGATTAGTCCACACAGAGTAGTCCAGACGTTAAGCAAAGAAGACTGCTCCTTAAGTGGAGTATGCTCAGCTGTTGCCACATGGCGTTCATAGAATTGTCTGCGCAGCTTTGTGTCCTTATTTTTCAAACCCCCCAATTAGGAAAAAGCCCCACACGCTTCTAATCATTTTAAGCTTTCCGTTACTATTACACCATCAAAGTAACAAATACCTTTTTCAAGAAATGATCATTGCTTTGCTTCTAGTATTTGGGTTGATATATGATAATATCGTAGAGTTATATATAGACTAGAATACTACAACTATATAAAATTGTAGAAGGTCGCTTTCATATGATAAACATGAATGTATATATATGTATATTCAAAGGGAATACAAACATATATGAAGTTGACGACTAATTAAGTAGTGTTTTCAAGAAATTGTAGAAGAAAAAGTATTGTTTAGTAGATATGTTACTTATTTATAGAAAGTCTAATAATAATATGTTTAAAAAAAATTTGAAGACTAGTTTGAAATAATTTGAGTAATTTAACTTTTTTTTTTTTTTTTTTTTTGTCAACAACAATAAAAGTGACTCAAAAGAGCCAAGCGGAAGGAACATTGTTTACATACAAACAGCTAAGCGGCTCAACACGTATTCGACGTGCTAACGCATCCGCTTTAAGATTAGAACGACGAGAAACTTTGACAAGACCAAAAGAAGAAAACACTTCCCTATCTGCGATAATTTCCTCTAAATATGTGACAAACGCCGGCCATTCTGTTGGGGAAGACACCATCTCCACCAGATCTGAACAGTCTGTAATGAAAGTCACTTCACGTCTCCCTGCTTCAATCATACACTTCATAGCCCACACTAATGCTTCGACTTCGGTATGTAGTGGCGATAGACTCCTTCGAAAGTTAGATGCACCCATTGTTGGTTCGCCATTTGTGGCTGTGCAATACCACCCTAAACCTGCAAAAATATCACCCTCTTTCCAGGACCCATCCACAAAGCATGTGAAACCTGGATATCTAATGCTAGAAGGGTCGTTAATTTGGTATAACCCCCGAGGTACCCCAGAGCCAGTGTCAACAGCTCCCTCCATCTGTGCATCAAACCATGATTGTGCCTCACACTCCGCCAATCGTAGGACCTCTCTTGGATCCCTATCTATATTGTCAAATACCTTTTCATTCCGTGCTTTCCAAATGTACCACATTATCCAAGGATACATTGAAACATCTAAATCCTTGGGTGTCCTCCAAAACAAATGATCCATATTAGCAAACAGAGACTCTGTTGGGAATACCCCAGGTGCAGTGGGAACTTGAGATAAAGCCCATGTTTGCAATGTCGGTGGACATTGAAAAACTGCATGCAGAGTAGATTCTACTTCGCCACATCTACTACAAAGCGGATCACAATTCAGCCCTCTTCTTGCCAGATTATTATTAACCGATATACATCCTCTAAGTACTTGCCATAAGAAATGACGTAACTTGGGGGGACACTTGACCTTCCACACATGAGCTTGCAATTGATTAGTATCTGGGCCATATACATTACAAGTCCGTCTTGTATCCCGTGATACCATATATCCTGATTTCACCGAATATTTACCGGATTTTGTAAAATGCCAAAACCTGTAATCCTTCCCTTGCGGGAACCGAATCGGGATAGCACTAATAATAGGGACATCCTCTGGGTCGAAGAGAGCTTGTAGCAGCTGCACCTTCCATGAGCCTGTCTGCGTATCAATCAATTGATTAACAGATAGATTTGTAAGCGGTTCAGCAAGTGAACTGTTTCGGGTAGCTGGCCTCGGGTATTGAGCTGGTAGCCAAGGGTCATTCCATACTGAAATAGATTCCCCCGTCCCAACTCCTTTAATAAGTCCTTTGCTAACCAGAGGGCGAGCAGAAATAATACTCCTCCAACCATAAGACGGGGAGTATGATTTGATCAGACCCAGTGGGTCTGATTTCCTATAATACCTTCCTTTAAACACTTGAGCAAACAAACAATCTGGAACATTTATCAGTCTCCAGAGTTGCTTTGCTAATAAAGCCGAGTTGAAATCCTCCACATGTCGAAAACCCAATCCTCCT